ACAGAGCTAGATTCCGTCTCAAAAAAAAGGAGGAGGATGACCCGGAGAGAGAGCAAGACCAGTGAGTGAGGGCCTATGCTAATCCTGGGTGGCCTAGAGCCTGGAATTTTTATTATTTATTTTTTAGAGAAGGAGTCTCTGCTTTGTTGCCCAGGCTGGACTTGAACTCCTGGCTCAAGCAATCCTCTTGCCTCAGCCTCCCAAATAACTGGGACTACAGGTGAGCAGCTGCACACCTGGCTTTAGAGTCTGGATTTTTAATTTGCCTCAGGCAGCCAAAAGGAAAGAAGGAAAGAAGTCCCCAGACTAGCATGGTGGGAAGGCAGATCAAGACTAGCAGTGGCCTGGAATCCCAGCACTTTGGGAGGTCAGGGCAGGCAGATTGCTGGAGGTCAGGAGTTCAAGATCAGCCTGGCCAACATGGCGAAACCCCATCTCTGCTACAAATACAAAAATTAGCCAGGTGTGGTGGTGCCCGCCTGTAATCTCAGCTACTCGGGAGGTTGAGGCAGGAGAATAGCTTGAAGCTGGGAGTTACAGTGAGCCAAGATCCCACCTCTGCACTCCAGCCTGGGCTACGGAGCAACACTCTGACTCAAAAAAATAAAAAAAGACTCTTGCATAATGCTGGGGGCCCAAAGAGGGGGAACTGCTGAGAATGAAAAAAAGCATCCCTGACCTTGCTGACAAGAGGCTTTTGTGTCTTGACTGCAGCGCTGGGTTGCATGCAGGGTGGAGAACCTCCTACAGGAGTCCTTAACCACCAGCACTTAACCACTCGCATGAACTTATGGCTGAAATCCATCCTATCTTTGTGGCCCAGAAATTCTAAGCTAAAAATTTAAGTTTGAAGGGGTCAGTCTTGGGTCGGTAATAACCCTAGGAACCTGGAAGAAGCAAACTCGAATCCTCTCTAGAAAAACACACTTTAAATCCAGGCCTCAAATAAAAAAAAAATCAGCTGGGTATGGTGACACCCACCTGGGGTCCCAACTATTTGGGAGGCTGAGGTGGGAGGATCACTTGAGCCAAGGAGGTCAGGGCTGCAATAGGGAATGATCAAGTCACTGCACTTCAGCCTAGGCCAAAGAGTGAAACCCTGTCTTAACAAACAACAAGCTGGGTGAGGTGGCACACACCCGTAATCCCAGCACTCTGGGAGGCCGAGGCTAGTGGATCACCTGAGGTCAGGAGTTCAAGACCAGCCTAACACAGTGAAACCCTGTCTCTACTAAACACAAAAAAAATTAGCTGGGTGTGATGGCACATGCCTGTAATCTGAGCTACTCGGGAGGCTGAGACAGGAGAATCACTTGTACCTTGGAGGTGAAGGTTGCAGTGAGTGGAGATCATGCCACTGCACTCTAGCCTGGGCAACAAGAGCGAAGCTCTGTCTCAAAAAAACAAAAACAAAAACAACAAACAACAACAACAAAGATGCCTCAAAGAATGTCCATGAAGTTCTGAAGTGCAGGGATCTATCATACAAAAATCGCTAAACACAAAGAAAAGTAAGCCACCATGAGCAAGTTAGAAAACAGTAAACTGCAGAATCAGCCCCACAGTTTGAGTTCAGGTCTGACTCAGGAGCCTGGGACTTTGCTCTGGGAAAGGCAAAGTGGGTGCTCCCAGCCCACTTGCTAAAGCACAGGCTGGGGCCTTGCCCTTGTCCTTGACTGTATGTCACCAGCTAAGGAAGCTGATAAGCTCAGGGACAAACAAGCTCACAGGTTAAAATAAGCAGATATTTTAAGAGTACGAGCACATCAGAGGAGACAAACTATCCTCCACAAACCAGAATGGAACAAGACAGATCAGGACTCTAAAATAAGCATAGCAAAGATCCTCAGGGAGGTAAGAGGATGATTAACGAGGAACAAGCAGTGACATAGACTCCAGTGGAAACACTGATACGAAGTTGGTAACAGACTCAGAAGAGTGGGGGGAAAAAAAGAATAGTTGAGCTGGGCACGGTGGCTCACACCTGTAATCCCAGCACTTTGGGAGGCTGAGGGGGGTGGATCACCTGAGGTCAGGAGTGCAAGACCAGCCTGGCCAACATGGTGAGAACCCCATCTCTATTAAAAAATGCAAAAATTGGCCAGGCGTGGTGGCTCACGCCTATAATCCCAGCACTTTGGGAGGCAGAGGTGGGTGGATCACTAGGTCAAGAGATCGAGACCATCCTGGTCAACATGGTGAAACCCCATCTCTTCTAAAAATACAAAACTTAGCTGGGCATGGTGGCGCAGCCTGTAGTCCCAGCTACTCGGGAGGCTGAGGTAGGAGAATTGCTTGAACTCAGGAGGCAGAGGTTGCGGTAAGCCAAGATCGTGCCATTGCACTCAAGTCTGGGTAATCAGAGCGAAACTCCGTCTCAAATAAATAAATAAATAAAAATAAATAAATTTTTAAAAATGCAAAAATTAGCTGGGCATGGTGGTGCGTGCCTGTAATCCCAGCTACTCAGGAGGCTGGGGCAGGAAAATCCCTTGAACCCAGGAGGTGGAGGTTGCAGTAAGCAGAGATTGCACCATTCACTCCAGCCTGGGCAACAGAGCGAGACTCTGTCTCAAAGCAAGCAAGCAAACAAACAAACAAAAACAAAACAAAACAAAATGAAAAACAAACAAGAATAGCTGTAAAATGAATGATGATCTAAATCAATTGAAGACGTTTTCCTAGACGGTACTGAAAAGTAATAAGGAGATGGAAAATACCAAAGAATATTTAAGAGATATGGAAAGGCTGGGTGCGGTGGCTCAAGCCTGTAATCCCAGCACTTTGGGAGGCCGAGGCAGGTAGATCACGAGGTCAAGAGATCGAGACCATCCTGGTCAACATGGTGAAACCCCGTCTCTACTAAAAATAAAAAAAATTAGCTGGGCATGGTGGCACGTGCCTGTAATCCCAGCTACTCGGGAGGCTGAGGCAGGAGAATTGCCTGAACCCAGGAGGCGGAGATTGCGGTGAGCCGAGATCACGCCATTGCACTCCAGCCTCGGTAACAAGAGCAAAACTCCGTCTCAAAAAAAAAAAAAAAGAGATATGGAAAATATCAGTGTCAATATCTGCCTAATATGAGTTTTAGAAAAAGAGAAAATGGATGTAAGAAAGAGACTATATTTAAAAATTGTGTGTATGTTTCCTGTCAGGAACCAAAAAAAAAAAAAAAAGAAAAAAGAAAACCTTAAGTGTGAAGTTTTAAATATTAATTTAGAGACCAGCCTGGGCAATGTAGTGAGATCCTGTCTCTAAAAAAATTAAAAATTAGCTGGGCATGGTGGTGTGCACCATATAGTTCTAAGTATTTTGGAGGCTCAGGTGGGAGGATCACTTGAGCCTGGGAGGCTGAGGCTGCAGTGAGCCAGGCACTCCAGCTTGGGTAGCAGAGCAAGACCCTATCTCAAATAATAATACTATTAATGATTAATGATAAAACGACTTCAATGCAAAGGTCTTGTGGAACATCAAACAGTAGATAGGGTAAAACCTAAGCTTTGATTTAGGAAAATCAAAGACCACAAAAAAAAATTCAAAAAGCTTACAGCAGGAGGGAATATAGTTCACAAAAGAATCAAAACTGGATTGGCATTGGTTTTCCTAACAGAAAAATTGGAGACAAAAAGCAATGAAATTATATATATAATTTATATATGTAATTACATATATATATAATTTTTTTTTTTTTTGAGACAGAGTTTCATTCTTGTCGCCGAGGCTGGAGTACAGTGGTGCGGTCTCTGCTCACTGCAACCTCCACCTCCTGGGTTCAAGCGATTCTCTAGCCTCAGCTGCCTGAGTAGCTGGGATGACAGGCCCCTGACACCATGCCCTGCTAATTTTTGTATTTGTAGTAGAGATGGGTTTCCAATATGTTGGCCAGGCTGCTCTCAAACTCCTGACCTTAGGTGATCTGCCTGCCTCGGCCTCCCAAAATACTGGGATTACGAGCGTGAGCCACCGTGTGTAGCCATGAAATTACATTTCTAAGTGATGATGAAAAAGAACCTAGAAAATTACATCCCACTAAACTATTATTTAAATGTGAAGAAGCAAAAATGATGCTTTCAGACATACAAGGTTTTAACAAATTTAAAACGAGCACAAAGGCCTCTTTGAAAACTCTCCTGGAATGAGTACTTTTATACTTAATATAAGTACATTGTACTTAATATACTGAGAACTTACTAAACACAGGAAAAGATGTTCAACACCATTAGTTATTATGAAAAGTCAAATCCAAAGAACAAGATACCTTTATACCCCCAGGAGATGATGGCTATAATTTAAAAAATGAAAACTGGGCCAGGCGCAGTGGCTCAAGCCTGTAATCCCAGCACTTTGGGAGGCCGAGGCAGGTAGATCACGAGGTCAAGAGATCGAGACCATCCTGGTCAACATGGTGAAACCCCGTCTCTACTAAAAATACAAAAAATTAGCTGGGCATGGTGGTGCATGCCTGTAATCCCAGCTACTCAGGAGGCTGAGGCAGGAGAATTGCCTGAAGCCAGGAGGCGGAGGTTGCGGTGAGCCGAGATCGCGCCATTGCACTCCAGCCTGGGTAACAAGAGCGAAACTCCGTCTCAAAAAAAAAAAAAGAAAACTGACGAATGCTGATGAGAACGTAGAGGAACAGGAACTCTTACACCTTGGTGGTGGGAATGTGAAATGGTTCCGCTACTGTGGAAAAGTTTGGTAGTTCCTCAAAGAAAACACAGTCACCATAAAATCCAGCAACTCCACCACCAGGTCTATACCCAAGAGGATTGAAAATATATATCCACACAGAGACTTGTGCACAAAGGCGCATTATTCATAATAGACAAAAAGTGAAACAGCCTGTGTCTATCAACTGATGAATGGGTAAACTGTGACATATTCATACAATGAGATATTACTTGGGGTATAGATATCTAGATATTAAATTGAATACTAGACAGGGAAAAAATCACAAAGAAAAATGAGGGGCATCATATTGGTAAAAGAACGTTGTATCAGTGCTCACTTTGGCAGCACATATACTGAAACTGGAACAATACAGAGATTAGCACGGCCCTGTGCAAGGATGATACGCACATTCAAGAAGCATTTCATATTTGTTTTAAAAGAACATTATATCAAAAAGATATAACCATAATGAACATATATGCATCCAAAAACATTCTTGGCTATTTGAAAATTTATTAAGAAGGAAGAATGACAAGAATGATTAAGATGATGCATCTAAACAAAGCACAGCATGAAAATGGAAACAAACATACAGGAGATTACCATACATCAAAAATCGACTGGATGCAGTGGCTCACGTCTGTAATTCCGGCACTTTGGGAGGTCAAGGTGGGCAGATCCCCTGAAGTCAGGAGTTCAAGACCAGCCTGGCCAACATGGTGAAAACCCGTCCCTACCAAAAATACAAAAATTAGCCAGGTGTGATGGTGCATGCCTGTAATCCCAGCTACTCAGGAGCCTGAGGCAGGAGAACCCAGGAGACAGAGGTTGCAGAGAGGTGACATCGCACCACAGTACTCCAACCTGGGCGACAGAGCAAGACTTTATCTCAAGAAAAATAAAAAAATTAAAATCCTACAAATACACTTCTAAAAGAATTTCTGGGCCAGGTGTGGTGGCTCACACCTGTAATCCTAGCACAGCACTTTGTGGGGCTGATGCTGGCAGATCACCTGACGTCAGGAGTTTGAGACCAGCCTGACCAACATGGTGAAACCCATCTCTACTAAAAAATGCAAAATTAGCCGAGTGTGGTGACACATGCCTCAGTAATCCCAGCTACTTGGGAGGCTGGGGCAGGAGAATCACTTAAACACGGGAGGCAGAGGTTGCAGTGAGCCGAGATCACGCCACTGCACTCCAGCCTGGGCATCAAGAGTGAAACTCTGCCTCAAAGAAAAAAAAAAAAATTCTCAGTGTTGATTGTATATAGGTATTATGGGAAAAGCACTTGATCTAATTCAATTCATGTATATAATCAACATTCCCAGAAAATTAGGAATAGAACTTCCTTAACTTCATAAAAACTGTATACCAAAAATCTAGAATAATACCATACTTAATGGAGAAGACTTAGATAAATAAGGAAAAAAGACTGTAATGTTCCCATTAAAATAAGGAACAAAGATATCACTTTCCCCATTACTGTTTAGCATAACATTAAAGGACCAATCTAATGCTCTAAGACAAGATATAAAAAGTGAAATTGAAAGAGGAGATAAAACTGTCGTTATTTGTAGATTATATGATCACTTCCATTGAAAAGCTAATAAAATAATCAGATGAGTTATTAGAATAATAGTTTAGCAAAATTGCTGGATATAAAAATCAACTTTAAAGGATCAATAACATTCCTTAATACCAATAACAAACCAGAAAACAAAGAACAAGATACAATTTATGGAAGCAGCAGCCATAAAGTATCTAGAAATCAATATATAAACAAGACCTTCATAGAGAAGTTTAAAAGCTTTACTGGAAGACACACACACAAAAAGATCTGTAACTCAAAGTTTCTATTATTCTTCTTAAACCACTCTACAGGCCTCAAAGAATGTGAACTTAATGCAAATTGAATCCTAATCAATATTTCAACTGGATTTTAAATGGAACTGGAAAATTTTATTCTAAAATGTATATAGAATAAAAATCCATAATTAGTTGGGCCAACATAGAATAACAGAGACGGGACTCTCTTTACTAGATATTAAGGGATATTGTAAGTCTATGGTAATAGAAAACATAAGATATTGGTGTGGAAATAAAAAGAACAATGGAACAGAACAGAGCTCAAAAATAGATCCTTCCACGTATGAGAACTGGACATATGATAAAAATGGTACCACAAATTAATGGGTGAAGTATTGATTTGCTAGATGGTGTTGGGAAATTGCTTCACTAAATACAGAAAAATACAGCTGGATCCCTACATTATGCAATATACAAAGGTGGATGGCAGATGGACTGTAAATGCAAATGTGAAGGCAAAACTATAAAGCTCATAGGAGAAAATGCTGGAGGATATCTTTGTGGTATAGGGCTAGGGAAACATTTCATCAACAAACTATCCAAAAAAAAAAAAGACAAAAAGTAGATTAATTAAAAAGTAAGGATTTCTGTTCAATAAAGGATGCCACAGACAAAGTTAAAAGACAGGAAACAGACAAAAGTAACTGACACATCTAAAACTGGTAAGAGATTAATATTCACAACAAGAAACCAAAATGCAATTGCACAGTGAGCAAAGATCAACATGCAATTGACAGAAAGGAAGACTATCACCTTGTTCTTGGTAAAAAGGAATAGAAGATAACCTAGTTATCCACCGTGAGGGGAACAGGTATGCATAACGTGGTGGCTGCACACTAGGGAAACTGCAGCAGTAAGAAGCAACATGCTAAATGCACACATAACAACGTGGATACATATAAGTGAAAAAAGCAGAAAATAGTAAAAATGAATACCACAGTACCATCTGTATGATTTAAAATTGTATACACACAACACAATACTACTTACTTCAAAGAATGCCTGCATAACAGGGGGTATGCACCAAACAATTAAGCATGGTGCCTTTGGGACAGAGCAGAGTGAGGACTAAGGAAGAGGAGAAACTGAATGGATAATGAAGGGAATGAGTTCTCGAACTGACTGACGATGACAATGTGCTATGAATCAAGACATATGATTGATGCATTACTTTGTATATCAGTACAAAGTAAAAAGAAATCATTCACAGCACATACTCACATATAGTTTGAAACTACAGCAGGTGTTTGGCTACAGAAAGAAAGGCTGCAGCTGTGAGGGACTGCCTGCAGAGCCACACCCTTGGAATGGCAGAGCAGAGACAGCTGGATCTTGGTGACATGGAATCACTCTATGACACTTCATCTAAACCAAGTACCTGTAAGACCACTCAGATGAACCAGAAGATTCCCTTGACCTTTTAAGCCAGGGCTTTCTGACACCTGTGATGAAAGAATTTTAACTGTTATCATCTTTGCCTGTACTTTAGGCAATAACTACCTCAGATTTTAAACAACACTGTGGCTTCACTTCTGTACTTCTGGGAAGTCAGGGGAGCAAGAGGAAGCACACATTTAAGAAGTAAAAAGACAGAGAAGAGACAGAATAATAGTAGCCACCAAGTATAAGCTCTTATGTGCTAGGCACTGTGCTAGGTGCTTTCCATACCTTGCCTCTAATTTAAACAATATACCTGCCTGCGGTCTCATCCCTGTGCAGATGAGGAAACGGGCTTGAAAGGGCAAGTGTCTTGTCTAGAGTAATGCAGCTTCATAGTGGAGTCTTATGAACCCATCTTTCTGCTGTCAACCTGTTCTTCACACCATGCCACCTTACTAGAAAAGATGAAGGGGAAATGAAGAAGGGACAAACACAGAGATACAGAAGAGGCTGATAAACCGAGGCAGAAAAAAACAAACCACACCTAGGCACATATGGAGGCACGATGGTCTCGGAGCTAAGGACACCCATGACACATCAGAGTATGCCAGCCTGAGAGGAGACTGTCATTGTCCTTTGAAAAAGAAACAAAACAAAAAACACAGGGTCTTGTTCTGTGGATGGAGTACAGTGACATGATCGTGGATAACTGCAACCTCAACCTCCTGGATTCAAGTGATCCTCCCACTTCAGCCTCCCAAAGCAAAACAAATCTTTATTTTAAATAAAGCAGTTTAATCTATTAGTGTTTTCCCTCCAAGCCAAATCTGATGTTAGGATATACCAAGGTCTGAGTGAAAGAAAGAAATTCCTTTCTTTCAGTCTGGACGTGGTGGCTCATGCCTGTAATCCAAGCACTTTGGAGGCCAAGGCGGGTAGATCACCTGAGGTTGGGAGTTCAAGACCAGCCTGATCAACATACTGAAACCCTGTCTTAAAAAAAAAAAAAATAGAAAAAGAAATTCCTTTCCCTTTCTTCCAGTGATGAGACAGGAAGAGGCCCCTTCCCATTTCTTTCTCCTTCTCTTCAACCAAAAACTCACCTATCTGTTACATAAAACAATTTACTCATGTTATCCACGGTCACTGAAAATAAACTTAAGTAAAAGGAAAAATAAGAAAAAGCACTGATACCACCACTCTGCATTTTGGGGTGCATGTTCTTTTGTATATTTTCTAATGCATGTATGTACATACACATATATTTACACTTACAGTCACCCAGAATGGAGTGCAGTGGCATGATCTCGGCTCACTGCAACCTCTGCCTCCTGGGTTCAAGCGATTCTTGTGTCTCAGCCTCCCGAAGAGCTGGCATGCACCACCACACCCAACTAATTTTTCTATTTTCCATAGAGATGGGGGTTCGCCATGATGGCCAGGCTGGTTGTGAACTCTTGCCATCAGGTGATCCACCTGCCTTGGCCAACTTTTAAATTTTAATGTTAGTTGGAATTACATGAAAAAAGTGTCCCATCCTGCCAAATACTCTTGGTAGAAATATGAGTTTTTAAAAACCGTAACAATGACCTTTATATGGTAACATACAAGATGGTGAAAACATGGTACGGTATAGTTGAATTCTGTTACCACAGGGTTTTCTGGTTTTGTCAGAAAGTATCTTGAGGGGTACTGCTCACAAGAACACACTTTTGCAAAACTGAGCTTACGCGTTAGTTAAAGGCACTTACAGTCCCCCTCATCCCCTAATGCATGAGGTCCGTGCCTTTTTGAATTTCTTATTTTCATCTTCATTACAACACACTGAAAATACTTAAAAGGAAAAAATAAAAAGCACTCACATCACTGTATATTTTGCAGAGTATGTCCTTTTTGATATTTTTTTCTACACCCCCATTTCAGCGAAAACCTTTTTGATATTTTCTATGCAGATCACACATACACTTATAAATAACTGTTCACTTTCTCTGACAAGTTGCTTTCTCTTCATCCTTCTCCCACCCCTTACCTACTTTTCTTTTCTTTTCTTTGAGACAGAGTCTTGCTCTGTCTCACTGCAACCTCGGACTCCCTGGTTCAAGCAATGCTCCGGCTTCAGCCTCCCAACTAGCTGGGATTACAGGCACGTATTACCACACCCAGGTACTTTTTCTATTTTTAGAAGAGATGGGGTTTCATCAAGTTGGCCAGGATGGTCTCGATCTCCTGACCTTGTGATTTGCCCACCTCGGCCTCCCAAAGTGCTAGAATTACAGGTGTGAGGCACCGCGCCTGGCCTCTTACCTGAATTTCTAAGATTGAATTATTTTTATAAGATTCCCACATCTACATTTCAAGTCCTGACCATAGTAGCATTACAACATATACACATACCCTATTACCCAGAAAACCTAGAGTGAGTCACATTCAAGGACTCCCACACTCTGCCTTCCTCTACTCGTCCAAACATGCCCCTCACAGCAAATGATCTACCTTCCTGACTTGATCAAATTCCACCAATTCTTGGAGGCCCACCTCAAACACCATTCATTTCACTGAGTCTTCCCAGATTACCCCAGTTCTGTTTCTCCCCGAATGTGAACTCAAATGTCAGGTGGCAATGGACCACACCCTAACAAATTTGACGTTAAAAGAATCATTATCTTTTAACTTATCACGTGCCTGCAAATTGTGAGTACACTGGGAGGCAGGAGACTGTGTCCTTTACTTCTTGTACTCCATAACCTAGCAGTGTGATATGGACAGCAGATACTCCCCAGGGCTGAAAGAGTGTGATGTTAAAACCCAAGGTCCTCAATAACACAACAGACACGAGGATAGTATGTACATTCCTCTTTATTTAATACAACAACGAACACGTAACATATACAAAAAGAAAAAACACTCATGTAAAAGGCCCTGTCACGAAGGATAGACAGGAAACATCTACACTGAATCAAATAAGGCTCTTGCTTCAAAAACAGGGGTTTGCTAGCTACACCTGGAATATGAGCAAGGCTGTTGCAAAAAGAAAAGAAAAAAGAAAAAGGAAAATAAACCACAAAAATCCCTGCACTGAAGGAGTATATTTATGGGAGTAATTTACTAAATTCACAGGTCCATATTTAGGAATGTTTATGCCCTCTCACATATCCAAAATTCAGGGTTTTATGAAATGTGTAATTTTTTGGTTAAAAAAAATTTACCTGCCCTTTTTTCTTAGGAAGGAGTGATCAGAGCTTTCTAAAAACTAGAGACAAGCAAACCACCCAAAGTTTGAAATGTTTTACTATTAAAGCTCAAAGGGGCAAGGAGAACTGAGAATGCAAAGGCAAAATGACAGTGGGAAGAAGTAACTTCTACGTCATTTCCTGGTAGCTAGAGTTTAATTAACCAAATGGAAAATGACAAAATGGAAATACCTCGGCTCAGTGCAGGGTTCAGTAGCAGCAGTTTGTCCATATTCCTGCTCCGATTTGAGCTGGAAATTAAACAAGCACCAGTTCATCTCAAAGAGCCTTATACAAACACACACGCACACATACCCACACCCATTCACGTCATCACCACCCCCTTTTATTTAAATTTATTATTTTTTTTTACTAAAATAATACAAAAAAGGGAGACAGGTATATTTACAAAAATCCATGGCTGGTACAGTACATAATTTTTAAGACACACTAAATGCTACAATCTTTCAGGTCCTGAGATTATTACAAATATCAACTCAAAGCTTGTGTTCAGGTCCAGTTTTTAAAGGAGGAAAAAAAAATCCCAAAATATTAAGTCACACACTTATTTGAAATACAGTATATCCCTTCAAGTTAGCAAAAACACACCTCCCTGTAAGCAAATGCAATACAGTAATTCGTGCCTTTCACCTAGAGGACCATCAACTCTTGAGGCGCCTTCGAGATTGGTTTGGAAACACGTTGGCATCAATGTCAAGTGTGGAGGTGACTAATGTATGAGAAGTGTAACTGGAGGGACGTTCCTCTGCAGAGTGAACATTCACTGTATAAATACATCCTGTTTTTCCTTAGGCTACCAAACAAGTCTATCCCTTATCAAAATTCATGCCATAAGGGTTGGAAGTATGTGCTTACCCAGACTAAAAAATCAGAATCATTATTTCCAAGTAGGTCTGGAGTTCCATAATTATGTTTACAAATGCAAATAAACTTTCTTGCTTGTAGTAAAAGAGAGAAAACACCCAACACTTAGCTACCTTGGCAGACTTCGATTAATATATTATTTGGGGTACAAAATTTTCACCAGCCGGAGATTTTTCTTCTTTTAAGTGTGAGGGTGTTTAGCAAGTAAATGAAAGGGCAAGCCCCAGACTTACATATTCTCTGAAAGAACAATTTGGTATTTTTCATACTTTCTAAAATAAAGTAAGTTTTCAATGATAACCAAAAAAAAAAAAAAAAGGGCAGTGCAAAGTTTGACTCTTTTCTCTGGAGGCTTGTCATGGATCACAGGAAATTATTTGTAGGCTGGGCACCTACCTCTAATGGGGCAGGGCCCATTGATTAACTGAAGGTCTCAGAAGGTATATGTAATTAATTACAAAGGCATGGCCAAGACTCAAAAAGAGGTAACCAAAGTTGGTCAACTTTCCAATTAACTATGTAAAACAGCAATACTTTTGTCAATTGAGAGTAAGTTTTTTCTCTTTTAATTCCTCTAGCTAATACTGGGGTAACCCTTGATATAATTTTTCAGGTATAGTAAAGAAAACCCAATTTTCTGACAGAGGGCACACCAACCCTACAAACAGCAGGGATAAGCAAAAAAGGAGGAAAGCTTATGGCTGCAAGCACAGCAAACACAAGATAGCTAACATCTGACAATTTAAGGGCAGGTTGTCACACAGAAAAACATGTCAACTGGGTGGTCTTGGATGATACTGACTCCTAAATGTGCTTTGAGGGCAGATGGTGTTGTTAACTTCAAAAACATAAGTATTTCCAAGTTATCTCGGGTAATAGTCATCTTGTTTGTATTTATTAGGTTTCCATTAGTGCTCTATTATAAAATATTTAAAACAGATTTATAATAAATTCATTATATTATTAGCAAAATGGGAACAAATAATGTATAGAAAATTTTGTGAGAAACAAACATAAAATCTGATTCATATGACCTGTTTGCAAAAGTAGGCTTATTTCTGGGGGAGTATGAAAATAAGCAAGGCAGACTATTACGAGAAATAGCCCCTAATAAAGGTCTGCATCTCTTTTGAATAACCTCGAAAAAGTATCAAGAGGGAGTCATGAAATGTAGCTAATGCCGCATTATACAGTAGCAAAATCTGTTTTTTAATACAGAGAAGAGGAAAAAAAAAACCTCTAGTCCCAGTGATGACCACTGATGACTCTAAGTCCTAGATACATAGACCCTAATACTACTACTGCGATTCTGAAAAGCATTCCTGACTTGTTTGAGTAACAGTTTGGAAAAGTGTCCGAAGTTTAAGTACTAACCCACTATGAAATGGATATGCACAGGAAAGATTGAGAAATAAAACTATTACAATATAAGGAAACTAAATATCACAAGTAGCTACTTTCAAGCAAGTGGTACTTTGGGAGTCTATGAGAAAAATAAAATTTAATATCACATTATTCAAAGGCATCTAATTAAAATCCTAAGAGTCCCTGCCCAGGTCCTCTGCTGGGATGTAAACAGTCTTCTAAAGCAGGCCTGCACAGGGCTTAACTTTTCAGTTCTATGGGTACACAGGACAGACTGCCAGAGTGAGTGAGAAGAGGACGAAAAAGATAATTTAAACTTTCCTCCCCAGACTCCTAATATACAACTCATATTCTAGTATAGCAATATGATTAAGAGCTCAGAATAAAGAATGAAGACTAAAGGAAACCAAAAAAGAAGAATTCAACATTAATATTCAAAGCTATTTTTAATTAAGAGTCTGACCACCTGTTCAGCTCTATCAACCAGAACATTGTGTCATATAATTTAAAACTCTCAGAATTGAACACAGGGATGATTTTATCATTAACAACCCAAAGACATTCCATGATACTAACTACAGCTTTGCACCAGTGAAAGGATCTGTAGATAGTTTTTGAACACACAGTTCACATTTTAGGATAGATGAACACAAAAATTCTCTCTATTTTATGCTTCTGTTAATTTTCCCTAGAGGAACAAACACACATTCAATAAAAACCCTTATGCCTTATTTCTTTGGGTCTTAACATTTGTTATTTGAGAATGGAAAAGATAGGGAAATGTGAAAAATAAGGAGTATGTTTATCTGCATAGTTGATCTTTAGAGGCTACTAAGGCCTTATCTGGAAAAAGCAACAAAAATCCAAAAAGCAACTTAAAAACACACACATGCATCCTATCATTAGAAATTCAGTGAACTTTAGCCAATTCTGGAAATTAACCAGATGCCTTGTCTGCCTCTGGACCTGGCGCTTTCTACTAACTCACTTGGGCCGGATAAAATTGGTTCCTCCCTCACGTTCTCCTTTCCTGACCCTGAATATGTGCTACAATTTAAATTTACACACACACTCCAACAATCACTGCTCAGCATTTAGCCCTAACTAAAACTGCAGCATCCATTTATTTCCTGTTATTATTTTAACAATCACGGGAAAATTCTACATAATAGTACTATTTAATATGCAGGGATGGAAATGGCGATAAAATGGTCTTCATCTCCTCCTGGGAGCTGGGGAAAACATGTTTCCTTCTACCCTGACCTTCCCCACCCCCGACCCGGTTAGAAAGTGAATCCTGCCTTCTGTCTCTGATTTTCTTACAACCTGAGCAGCTGATGGCTCCACCTCTTTCATGGGTTGAAGAAGCATGAATTACAAAGGTGCAATGGCTACAAGAGCATCCAGCTGGCTGTGTGTAGTGCTCACCCCCTTCAGTGCAGAGCTGGATATACCTACAGTTAATGAAATTAGTACACAATCTCTTGATTTGCAAGAACAAGGAGACATACCACTCATTCTTAGAAAGTTAAAAAGCTTAGCTACCCGTCCCCAAACAAGTAATAAAAGGAAATTAGACGGAGAAGATGGAAAAGTGAGGCAGTTAAAATTCCAGGATCATTTATCAACTCCAATAACCAAGCATTAAAACTTTATCTAACTTTAGCTCCACAACCTTGACAAAAATCACAGTAACACCGTAAAAGCCTAAAAATAACTACTTAAACTTAGTGTTATCTCTCTCCCTTGTTAACCTGAAACTAAACATTTTATCCCACTTCAAAGATAATGTTTAAATAACAAATATGTATCTAAATTAGAATTCCAGTGATTTTTTAAAAAATCATAGGGTGCTTTTTATATGCATTATAAGGAAAACATTTTTTAGCCTCTGCAGGAAGATGATAATACTATTTTTAATTATATAGGACATTTTACAAAAACTCAAAATATTTTTGAAATTACTTAAAGTCTCTGATATCCCTGGGAGGTAGGTGAATATGATTATACCCAATTGTTTAATGGGTAATCCGAGGCACGAAGGTTAAATGATATTCCCCCTAGACATAGTCATTCAAGAGTAACACTTGTGAATTCCAGCTGCCTGGCAAGTTTTGCTATCAGGTAACACTCTCAGGAGCTTCTGCTTTCTCCGTTTAAGCCACTAGTCTGTTCTTCCCAATTAAAATTTACTGAAAAGGGGGCACTTACTAGGTATATTTGTACTGGGTTTTGAAGGATGGTTCAACTTGGTCTCCCTTAACATGTCACATCTATTTATTTTCAACAAGAAATCGATGAATCTTAGATACTGAAAGTTATGTTGTTCTGCTCAAGGGAGAAATCTAAATAACCATTAAATCAGATTAAGCCAAATATAATTATATGGCAAATAAAAAGCAAATGGAAAATCTCTCAAGAATGCTATAGATATGAATGTTTTCCTCAACATCTGAAGTCTTTCTACTTCTGAGTTTATTAATCTTTTAACAGATATGCAGCTATATGATTCCTTCAAAAATCATGTTCCAGAAGAAACTATGATACATATTTAACATTGACAGTTGCTGACTTCCTTCTAAACTTACTCAGATACCATACGATGGTTCTAATGCTGGCCTTCCCACGTTTAGTCCAGCACACCTTATCAACATGACCTGCAAGGGTACTCTTGTTATTCCAATGCTTTCTCCTATACTACTTACGCCAAGTTTAAAGAGCACAGAAAAGTGGGTTATAACCAAGAATAGTCAATGATTCACTAAGTTTATTTTACTTATAATAACTGACAAATGTGTGTGTGTGTGTGTGTGTGTGTGTGTGTGTTGCTGTTAACATCTACAAACAGATATTTAAAGGGCAAAGATGGCCTGTTGTGAAAAGATACTTTTCTAATCCACCCACTTTAATCAACTAAAAGCAATGGAATAAACAAGGCAGAAGTTTTGCAAACAGTGAAAGGGGAGTGTTTGGAAAGGATGCAATGGTACAGCAGCTCCTAGTTTTATATATATGTAATGTATGTATCTTACACATATATCCATATACATATAAAGAAAAGAGGATTACAGCATGACATGATGTTGGCAAGTGTGAGATTCTTCCTCCTGAATCCCCTGACTTATCAGTCTGTACTTTAAGATAATCTGAAAAAGGTTTCAAAAGAGGGGAAAAAAGAAAGAAAAAAGGCACTTAACAAAGACAAAGGCCTGAATTGAGCATGTTTTAGAGGAGTAATATAAGCATTTTACCAGAGCTAAGAAATGATTTACAAAGAGTTAAACTTTTCCCCTTAAAACTTTATAAAATAAAATTGCATAACATGTTTGTGATCAGTCATTTATCTACTACTGCACTTTTCTTCTGCTTCATTATTACAAACACAAACCCCCCCAAAAGCAAAAACAACAATCATACATGCACAATAGAAAGTAAAAGTGCCTCTTTTGAGAACATTAGGTCAGCAGAATTACAGTGCTGAAGCACAGGGAAAGTTCTCAAGTTGGGCCTGATTATAGATTTTTCTCATTCTTCTATTTCCAACTTAAAACAAAAAAAAGCAAACAGAAATTCCAAACCTAAATGATAAAAACAACATAGGGACCAGTGTGCTTTTATGGTACACTCCTAAAATAAAGTATCCTAATTGTATACATGAGTCAAATTAGAGGACAAAACATCCTAGAAATAAAGAACTGTAAATTAGATTAAAGTCAACCAATACAGGCAAAGTTCATTTTACAAATGTAGCAGCAAATATGAGATAGATCACTGGAGTTCTAAGAGATGATCCCAAAGGACACAGAGTTCTCATAACCAATGGCAGTTTGAACGACAGTAGAATTTTCATTTCAGAAAATGTCTTGAACCAAGTATAGGTGGAAAGGGGTGTGGGAGAGGGCAACCAGAGGAGAAAGACTAGATTAGAGGTGCCTGTCCTTTCCAACCCTGGGGAGTAAACAATTTAGATCTGCTTTGGGAAAAAAATATCCTGGGTTAAAAATCATGTCCAGTAAGTTTTCAACCAGGTGTCAAACCCACAGTATTCAAACACGTATGTGCCCGATTCTTCCCCTTACCTTTGTGATTCAATAAACCCTATTCAATGTTCATGATATGAAAATGTAATTTGGGCTAACAACATCCATCAAAGGGGTGGTGGGCGTGAAAGAATGCACTATCACCATCTTCTGATTTGTGCGAAATATCAGAATTTTGTGACTACAGATTAGCCTCATTTCCTTTCCTAAAACCTTTTTCTTCAGGCTGTTTTAAAATCATGATTTCATTTACCCTCTGACCTCAAAAGCATACAAGACTTACAATTGACTTATAATGGAAATTATTGCTTGCATTTATTCTGGAGGCTCTGAATGAGCTTGACACTTTGCTCCCAGTCTCCATCAGCACAGCTATCTCCGAGGACAACTCCGCTGACTGTTATTGCTTGTGAATACTGAGGATTAACTTGTATGTACAGTAACAGCTTATATATCAGTGAAGGCAATTTAAAATATAAAACAGTTCAAAACAAACAGCTTAATCTTCCTGAATCAAGAATCCCGAGGGGTGGGATATAATCATGTGTGCTGATTATTTTTTGCATTTGGATGTTGCTAATGCTCTTTAGAAATACATGTTGCTCTATAGATATCCTTTCCAATGACTCACCATTTCAAAAAATAACATAATTTGATTTTTAAGTGCAAAAATACAGTATGAGTCACAAGTCTCTGTGCTAAAAAATAACCAATTTATATGTCTGTTTTTAGTAATAAAAACGGTAAAGACAGGTGACCATGAAGTATGGACACCTTTTTCAATGTTATGATCTAGAAAAGAAATAGATTTGTATTTACATGTAGAAACTCTCTGATCATACTTCATACAGCAATACAAGGATGCCTGACTGATTCATACAACATAAAAGGGGGGTCCTGATTAAAATGAATATAAGTCGTCAGTGCAGATGAGGGTTTAAGGTGGGAATCTGACAGCAGTCCTCAAGGAATCAAGACTAAAGAGAACACAGCAGAATCTCCGTATTATATTCTTGGAGCCATAGGCCTTCAGATATTTTTACTGGTTAGCATAAAACGCTACAGGGAAAAGAACTGATTATCCTGTTCTTTTCTAATGATGAGAGTATGATTTTTCACATGGCATGATTCAGAATTGATGGTTAAGAAATTCAAATGGTTTTTTGACTCAAACTAGTCATTTATATGAATATGTGTGTGTATGTATATATACAGACAGACAGACATATGTATCATTATCCAGGAAGAGAGATTAGTATGCACTTTGACTTCTCTTGTGGTATGAGAAGTAAAACAAAGGCTACCTTCCCAAAGGAAAATCCCATCACTTACCCTAGTATTAAGCAAAGACCTTTTTATTCAAATTTCATAAAAGCAAGAGGTTGACTACCTTTGAAAACATCAAAAAACTGGGTAAGCGTCCCTATTTGAAACCAAGCAAACCTTCATCAAACATATTGAATTCAAGTCAAACCTCTCTGCAACATCCTCCCAGTATCCTTCCAAAATATCCACTGCGGTTCACACTATATTCACATATTTGTTCTACTGGTAAACTAAATTCTTAGAGTCAAGAAGTTGTATCAGTGATTCCTTTGAAATAATCCTTTCCCTTTACCGTAACAAGTTCTTGGAACTAAAGTTTTCAGTTATTTATTAACTTTTTCGCTATGAAGCAAGCCAATGTGACTTTGAAGTCAAAATACAGGCATACAGATCTGAACAGATCTGTGGTTATTTATTCACAGTCCTGTAGGATATCTGGGACTTTTGTGTATAAAAGAAAAAAGGGCCTGGTTAATACTCTTATTTGAATAAATTTAATGGTATAATGTAATGTGTAATAAGCACATATGCAAGAAATCTTGCTAGTACCAGTCTATTGGTTTTTTAGGTTAGTGTGTCATTAGAAATGGACCATTCTCCAATATAGTCTGAAAATATTCAGAAGCTTAAAAAACTAGAATAATGAGGCCAAAAGAAAAAAAGCCCAAGTCAAATCAAGTGTAGCCAAGGAGAACCATACATTTTTACCTTAACATCCTTTGTTGAATATGCTATTTGCATAAGGAAGCTATAATAACTAAGGAGTCTTATTATCTGCAGATTTACTCACATATCAATACACTGAGTAAACATCAATAAAACTTTAGGATCTCAAATGCTCCAAACAATTTCACTACACTGGATACAGGGAGTAGAAATACATTGTGATTGTCATCCTAATGTAATTCCTCCCTTTAAAATACCATCTTAAAAATTCAGAAACTATATTTATGCCATTTGAATGACCAATGATGAAACACAGTTTATACTTCTACCTGTTTATATATCAATAGCTAATAATCACCTGAAGTACCACTAGCTAAAAGAACAGAAGAAGTTGTGAAGTTAGATGAATTGGGGGAAACTTAAGAGTTTATGTTGCTGTAAGGGCTAAAAGCAGTAAAGCAATAACCCTGTAAAGATCCCCATTTCTCAAAAGAAAAATGTGAACACAGTCACATTTTAACATCAAGAATGCAAATAAGAATTAACCAGGCAATACCAGATGCACAAATCACCTGAAGAAAAGAGTTAAGTACCTGCTTCTGAATGGAAGATGAAATTGACCCTTTTACAAAAAGGGGACATCTAAGTTTCATCACTTAAGAGCAACAGGCTCAACTTCCTGATTTTTAAAAATCTAGATATATATCACTGTGCTAAAATAACTTTCCTGAAGGATCTTTAGTCCACTGATTTACATGGGGAGTTGCTACACACTGGAGAAGATTCAAGTTTGTTCAGGATTTTTGAGGGTATGGTATTTCTTCAGCTACTGCCTATCGGAGAATCAACATTTTTTTTTTTGTGGCAAATTTGCTACAGTCCACTCAAAGACATGATCATTATTCCTGACAAACTGGCCTAATTCCAGTTTTTAATGCCTTTTATTATGCAATTATGTCGGTAAGTGTTCAGATCCAACCCCCAGGATGGATGGAGTTTACCCAAATTCTCTTGCCTTCCTTCTTCCTCCCCCGGGAAAAATGAAATTTGTATTTCTGTGGGTTTGACAACTGAGTGTCTTTCAAGTCTGTTAATATGGTAACTTTGTCTTTCTTTAGAAGAGACCAAAGGTCAATAACTTTGCACAAAAGCATTTCTTCCTCCTGCACCTGGCTTTGCTCAAGTAATGTTTTCTTTTTCCTCCTCACCACAGTGCTTGGGACGAGAGAATGTAAACATCGACAGAAACAGCAGCCCTATGACCACATAAGTACTTTCCCATCAGGTAGATTCCATCAGTCAACTAAACATTTCGTCTCCTTTGCTTGCTGGGCAGTCACTGAGATTTCCGTGGTAATTTAGTGTCCCCTTTACTTTGGCCTCCATCTGAGAAAAAGAGATGTTAAATTGGTATGGGTCCATGTTACAAAAACCAGGTAAGAAAAACACAGCAAAAGGAACAATTAACTTTTATCTTTTGTGGATGACATCTCTAAAAAGGTAACTTTTAGTATCTTGCATGCTATATAGGATTATAGAGGTTGATAAAACATCACGGAGATAAAAACGCAACAACAATGATCCTCTTTTCTCAAATGACTGTGGTTTTCAGTGTTCTATAAATATTATTTCAACAAGTATTTATCATTTACTTCCTAGCCGATTGTGTCAAATGCAGTGAGAGGGTTATAAAGGAACCAGAAGACACTATTCCCACCTCTGAGGGACCCACTACATCTTTCAATTCCTTTAGAAGAACAAGGTCAATGTATTTTTTAATAAGTGAAGTAAAATTTCTTGCCAGGACACAGCTTTTTGTAATTCCTGATTATTTGTGAAGCACACTTTTCACCTGTAGTAAAAAACATCCAGCTGAGTCTGTGTGCTCATTCTAATCTACCTTTAAGTGACAGGAAAGTCTGCTACTAGGACAATGCTTTCTTTTTTTAAGAGGTGGAGTCTTGCGCTATGTTTTCCTACAGCCTCAAATTCCTGGGCACAAGCAACCCCCCACACCTCAGCCTTCTAAATAGTGGGACTACAGGTATGTGCCACCACACTAGATCAAAATAATTTCTATTTTTACATACTGCTGTTTAAATGCTTGCAGAGAAAAATGCCGATCACTCCATTTAAGCCTCAACTAAATTGGAGGCTGGATAGAGGAGAGGAAAGGGGGATACACAACAAGGGTAGGGCCCAGTGACCTGGAGAGCCAACAGGTACATGGCCTTAGCAAGAAAAATGAATATTGCCTATGGCTGTTTTTCACTACAATGGTCAGTTAAGTGGTGGCAACAGAGACCATACAGCCTGCAAAGCCTAAGATATTTACTATTTGGCCCTTTATGGAAAAATTTTACTGACTTTTGTTTTAGACTAGATAAAATAATTAACATTAATTGAGCTCTTACTATGTATCAGGTACCAGGCTAGAAGCTTTAAATCAATTAATTTTTATTAAATTCTCCTATGAATTCAATAAAAACATTTGTTGTCCACATTTTACAAGAGAAAGTGATGGTCAAACAAGTTAAGCCTACTTAAACTGGCAGTTCTGGAATTCAAAAATTCAAGTCTGATCCTCAAGTTCAGTGACTCATACTTTAAAGTATTTCTTACAGAAAAAATTTTTAAACATTTTTTTTGAGACAGATTCTCACTTTGTCACTCAGGCTGGAGTGCAGTGGTGCAATCACAGCTCACTGCAGCCTCAACCCTCCAGACGCAGGTGATCCTCCCACCTCAGCCTCCCGGGTAGCTGGGACTACAGGTGCACGTCACCATGCCCAGAAATCTTTTTGTATTTTTTGTAGAGACAGTGTTTTACCATGTTGACCAGGGTGGCCTTGAACTCCTGGACTCAGGCATCCACATGCCTTGGCCTCCCAAAATGCTGGGATTACAGGCATGAGCTACCATATTTCCCTGCTGTTCAGGAGTAAGAAAAGAAAAATACCAACAGGCATATTTCCTTTCTCCCTCCTGAATAGCACTGCTGCATAGATGATGAGATAGTTCATGTAAGAGTGAACACTGGGGGGGGTCTTTCGGAGCCAAGAGAATCCTGCTTGTTTAATTGCAGGTGGCTACATTCATGCCAATCTACCCAAGAGTACAATATTCTCAGCTGGATTCATTATACTAAGCAGTTGTCTACACCCAGGGAGGAACTGCTTTAGTCACAGGGCAATTCTCTTTAAATACTGAAACTAGTAAAGAGTTCAGGAAGATCGGGATTGCCGACTTTGTGCCACGAATCTGTTACCCATTTTATACAACTATGATTTTACGCTCACTCTCGAGGGTGAGACTGGGACAGCTCACCACTTATTTTTTTTGAAGGATTAATGGCAATCTGTTGCCTCAAGATTGCTCCTCAGTCCCCATCTCTGCACTGTGGTCAATGGTAAACTGATTCAAAGATTGTTTATTTTTTTTCCTGAGACAGAGTCTCGCTCTGTCTCCCACACTGGAGTGCAGTGGCACGATTTCAGCTCACTGCAACCTCCACCTCCAGGTTTAGCCTCAGCCTCTTGAGTAGCTAGGATTATAAGCATGCACAACCTTGGCTGGCTAATTTTTGTATTTTAGTAGAGGCGGGGTTTCACCATGTTGGCCAGGTTGGTCTCGAAATCCTGCCCTCATGATCCAGCCGCTTTGGCCTCCCAAAGTGTTGGGATTACAGGTGTGAGCCACTGCATCTGGCTCAAAGATAATTTTAAATGCAGTGGCCAAAAAAAAAAAAAAAAAAGGGCCTAGTCAACTTTCGAAGTTAAGAGGCCAGCTGAACAGTTATTTCTGCTCAAAAGATCCTGAAAATTGGCTTCAGAATAATACCAACATCTGTGGAGGTCAACTGCTGGGGAAAACGAGAAGCTGGAGGCCAGTGCGTTATGCATAGTACCCACTGACTAATGTCAGATTTCAGAGCAATATGGCTGCCTGCAAGGACATAATGCATACAGCTTGGATCATAGGAATTTTTCTTTCTTTGGGGGGGGGGGGTTTAATTGCATTTTAGGTTTTGGGTACATGTGAAGAACATGCAAGATTGTTGCATAGGTACACACATGGCAGTGTGATTTGCTGCCTTCCTCCCCTTCACTTTTATCTGGCATTTCTCCCCATGCTCTCTCTCCCCAACTCCCCATCTCCTGCTGTCGCTCCCCTATTTCCCCCAAGGAATTTTTCTTTTTTGAGACAGAGTCTTGCTCTATTGCCCAGGCTGGATGGAGTGTAGTGGCATGATCTCAGCTCACCGCAACCTCTGCCTCCTGGGTTCAAGCAATTCTCTTGCCTCAGCCTCCCGAGTAGCTGGGACTATAGGCGTGTGTCACGACACCCAGCTAATTTTTGCATTTTTAGTAGAGACGGGGTTTCGCCATATTGACCAGGCTGGTCTCCAACTCCCGACCTCAGGTGACATGCCCTCCTTCGCCTCTCAAAGTGCTGGGATTACAGGAGTGAGCCACCGGGCCCAACAGGATCATATTAATTTCATCACCGCTAAAATGACAAAGACATTTAATGGCTAAGAATACAGGTCATGAAGTTAAGACTTCCTGGGCTAGTATCTCAGATCAAACATTTATTAGTGTATTATCTTGGGCAAGCTGCTTAGCTCTCCGATTCAGCTTCGTGATCTGTAAAATGGAAATTGTCATCTAACATTCATGGACTTGCTATAAGGAATAAGTTATCAAATCCATGTAAGCTGTCGCAAGACTGTGGCATTTAGTAAGCTTTCAATACATGTAAACTACTATCGTTACTGTATGTAACTTTTGTTAGCTATCTTATGGATCCTCTCCTTAGTCATCATTTCCACATAATAAACACCTTCAAAAAGGCTCTTTTTATGTTACAGAAGATCTCATTTACCTATTTCCTTCCTCTTAAACAGAAATTTGTGGCTGGGTATGGTGGCTTACGTCTTTAGCCCCAGCAATTTGGGAGGCGGAGGTGGGTGGATTATAAAATCAGGAGTTTGAGACTTTATAATCCAGTTTCGCCTGGCCAACATGGTGAAACCCTGCCTACTAAAAATACAAAAATTAGCCAGGCGTGGTGGAGGGCACCTATTGTAATCCTAGCTACTCCAGAGGTTGAAGCAGGAGAATCCCTTGAACCTGGGAGGCAGAGGTTGCAGTGAGCCAAGACCATGCAATTGCACTCCAGCCTGGGTGACAGAGTGAGATTCCATCTCAAAAAAAAAGGGAATTTGTTGCGAATAGGGAAGAGCATTCTGCATTTTCTAACCTTTGGTCATTCCATTCACACTGTTTTCAGAAAATAAAAGAATAATCCATATCTATAAGCCTATACAAATAAGAAAGAGATGAAGTAGGTGGTGGTCTCACCGTGAAATGCTTGCTGTAAGTGTGCAGGCAGAGGTGAGTGGGAAAGCGTCGCTGCATGCTGAGCTCCTGGCTGTAAACCCTTTAGTAAATCTGAGAGGAAAACAGACTTGTCAGTCATCTTTAAACCCAGACTGGAGCCCTTTTAGTTCAAAAATTAAAACTAATTTATGTATTGCAGGAACAGCACCTGACTTCAAAGGCCTTCTAAAACTAGAGCACGTTTTTAAAAATTTACTTAATGCATGTGTATGCTCATAACCCAACACATTTGACTTCCTCTTAACAATTTCATTAAGATGGAAATGTGGTACAGACAGCTTAAAATCTGTATACAGAATCCCAGAGTCTGATAATTTGACTTACTATTTAGAGATAAAGTGCATTTCTTAAAAATAAAAAAACCCCATAATCTTTATTAACTCCAACTGGCTACTCTTAATTAGAATAAATTCGTGAGGTTTCCTGTTTCATCAAACTAGACAGCCAACTAAATAGAAGAGCCCCACTTACTCTGAGTTAGGCTATGGTGGAAAGCGGCTGAGGTAGATCCCGACGTGGTTGTCACTCCAGCTGTGTCCGTTCCAAAGCCAAATATCTCCAAGGGAAACTGGAAGGGCATGGTCACTGGAACAAGGCCACCCAGCATCCCAAAAGGAGTCACATTTTGATTTGACACAGACAAAGGTGATGTCATGAGAGTCAGAGGTGAGGCATTAGCCAATAATGATGCTCCTGCTGTGGACTGTGCAGAAACCAGGGGTCAAAATACATATGAAATAGAGTAACCCAAATTGATTTTATATAAAATCCTCACAGATGCAAGACTGTGCCTTACATCTGCTCTAATAGAAATTTTGTGAGACAGGTTCTTCATTACCACGGTAGGTTCCGTAGACACTGCTAGTTTACTGGCACTTACATTAACACCCATGCACTCTCTCAATCTACTAATTCCTAACCTTTGACTCCCACTTCTCCACTTTTGCTCTTAGTCCAAAGACCTGAACCATGAGTAAGTAACTCTATGCAATTTCAGCTGGGTCTCTGAAAATGTCCACTTTACTATTTGTCTCCTTATTTTTCCTGCAGCTGCTGCTCCAGACTGCTGCTTTCAGGGCCCTCTACTTGGTATCCTTTGCTGTCATCACATCAGTTTAGAGAGACAAGGCCAAGGCGTTCTTCCTGGTCATAAGCCTCACCTACCCTTCTCCAAAGCTAACCATCTGACTTATACCGACAATTCCCACCATGTAGAACTTTTTTGTACAAATATCTAGTACTGTACCTTTTCCATGTTTCCTCTGCCTTCTCAGATAAATTATTTTTTTATAACCACACTGTTATTCTAGCTCTTCCCCAACTCCTAGCAACTATCTGTCTTCCTTTTATTATCAGTCAGAATGAGAGCCTTCAGTTTCCTTAGTTCTAGTCTCTAACTCTTGAAAGCTGGTTTTGCCTTATTACTTTTCTGAAATTACACTCCTTAAGGTAAAAGATAAACTGGAGAGTGTTTTCATACTCCCCTACCTGGGCTATGATGCCATGTTTACAAATAAAAACACTGAAATAAGAAATATGCTAATATATTTAGACTACAAGGAGGACTTTAGAAAAATAAAAGAAGTAAGAAATATACTAACATGGATGGGCTTTCACAGGGAACTTACTTAAATATATTCCCCCTGCCCAACTTCCTCCCTTTTTTGAGACAGGGTCTCCTGTTACCCACGCTGGAGTGCCGTGGTACAACCACAGCTCACTGCTGCCTCAACCTCCTGGAGGCTCAAGAGATCCTCTCACCTCAGCCTCCCGAGTAGCTAAGACTACAGGCACATGCCACCATACCCAAATGACATTTTTTGTATTTTCTGCAGAGACAGGGTTTCACCATGTTGCCCAGGCTGGGCTCGAACTCCTGGGCTCAAGCAATCTCCCCACTGCCCTGGCCTCCCAAAGTGCTAGAATTATAGCGTGAGATAGAAGACCTGGCAAATATATTCCTATAGCTAGTTTAATTCTTTGAACAATTTTTTTTTGAGACGGAGGACTGATTATTTAAAAAAAATTTGTCCTTTTGCTTCTGGTGGAATAACCATTTTTTTTTTTTTTTTTTTTTTTGAGTCCAAGTTCGCTCTTGTTACCCAGGCTGGAGTGCAATGGCGCGATCTCGGCTCACCCGCAACCTCTGCCTCCTGGGTTCAGGCAATTCTCCTGCCTCAGCCTCCTGAGTAGCTGGGATTACAGGCACGTGCCACCATGCCCAGCTGATTTTTTGTATTTTTAGAAGAAGCAAAGTTTCACCATGTTGACTAGGATGGTCTCGATCCCTTGACCTCGTGATCCACCCGCCTCAGCCTCCCAAAGTACTGGGATTACAGGCGTGAGCCACCGCGCCCGGCTACAATTTCTTAAGTTAATGTATAAAAAAATGCAGACAATGGTTCCATACATACATGCTACATGACATTACATATATTTACACACTTAAGAGTCTACACCACTGCTGAACAAAAAATGAAGAATATCCTCAAGCAGCCTTCTATTCTGGTTCTTTAACTGCCTCCCTTCCCCTTATCTCCTTTGTTACCACTGAAATTTATATCCCTAGTTCTGGCCTCTTATCTCAATTTCCATCCTGTATATCTGAGAGTTAAGTGAATAATTCCACTTGAATATCTAGCACCAACTTGACATATCCAAAACTGAAATCATCTTCTCCAATCAGTTCCCCCATCTTCTGCCAACTGCCATCATCAAGGAATTCCATTATTTCCAGTCACTTAGGCTTAAAACCTTAGTTTTTAGGCATCATAAAATGATGACATCATAGCTAACAAACCCATTCATTTTACCAAAATTTCCTCTTACACTTAAGCAGAACTCTTCACCACTCCATGTTTGAACGTGACGGTTTTTCTTATTTGCCAGTCTTTCCCATACTGTGCCAACCACGATATACAAAGTGGTGCATTTAGGAAAATTACCAAGTTAGAAATAATATCTTAAAGCAACTAGGACAGAAAGGATCAACTTAAAAATTACCCAGTGTTGGCTGGGTGCAGTGACTCATGCCTGCAATCCCAGTACTTTAGGAGGCTGAGGTGGGTGGATCATAAGGTCAGGAGTTCAAGACCAGCTTGCCCAACATGGTAGTCTCTATTAACCCCATCTCTACTAAAAATACAAAAAATTAGCGGGCACGGTGGCGCGTGCCTGTAATCCCAGCTACTCAGGAGGCTGAGGCAGGAGAATTGCCTGAACCCAGGAGGCGGAGGTTGCAGTGAGCCGAGATTGCGCCATTGCACTCTAGCCTGGGTAACCAGAGCGAAATTCCGTCTCAAAAAAAAAAAAAAAAAAAATTACAATAATTAATACAAAAATACAAAAATTAGCCAGGTATGGTGGCAAGTCTCTGCAATCCCAGCTACTCAGGAGACTGCGGCAGAAAAATCCTTCCAGCGTGAACCTGGAAGGCAGAGGTGGCAGTGAGCTGAGATCGCACCACTGCACTACAGCCTGGGCGACAGAGCAAGACTATCTCAGAAAAAAAAAAAAATTAACCAGCGTTGCTTCTTCTTTTAATCATAATTCTAATGCAATCTTGGGATGATAAAGAATGTCCAAGGCTGTGTGCCCCACTGAAGTTCCCTAGTGAGGAACCTTAAATACTGTTAATAAGGGGAATCTTTTATTTTATTTATTTATTTATTTAGAGATGGAGTCTTATTGTCGCCCAGGCTGGAGTGCAGTGGCGTTATCTCAGCTCATTGTAACCTCCGCCTCCTGAGTTCAAGTGATTCTCCCACCTCAGCCTCCCAAGTGCTGGGATTACAGGCACCCGCCAACACGCCCAGCCAATTTTTTTTTTTTTTTTTTTTTTTGAGACGGAGTTTCACTGTTGTTACCCAGACTGGAGTGCAATGGCACGATCTTGGCTCACTGCAACCTCCGCCTTCTGGGTTCAAGCAATTCTCCTGCCTCAGCCTCCTGAGTAGCTGGGACTACAGGTGTGCACCACCATGCCCAGCTAATTTTTGTATTTTTAGTAGGGACGGGGTTTCACCTTGTTGACCAGGATGGTCTCGATCTCTTGACCTCGTGATCCACCCACCTCAGACTCCCAAAGTGCTGGGATTATAGGTGTGAGCCACCGCACCTGGCCTAATTTTTTTTACTTTTAGCAGAGACAGGGTTTCATCATGTTGGCCAGGATGGTCTTGATTTCTTGAACTCATGATTCACCATGCCCGGCCTATAAGGGGAATCTTTTAAAGCTTTTAGATTGTAACTGAAGCATTAAAATAGATACAAAATGAGGGTCATGCACCATGGCTCACTCCTGTAATCCCAGTCCCTTGGGTGGCCAAGGCAGGAAATCACCCGAGGCCAGGAGTTCAAGACCAGTCTGGCCAACATGGTGAAACACCGTCTCTACTAAAAATACAAAAATTAGTTGGGCATAGTGACACTCGCTTATAATCCTAGGTACTCCAGAGGCTGAGGCAGGAGACCAGCTTGAACTGTGGAGGAGGTGGTTGCAGTGAGCCAAGATTGTGCCACTGTACTCCAGCCTGGGCAACAGAGCGAGAGACATTGTCTCAAAAAAAAAAAAAAAAAAAAAAAATTGCAAAATGCAAATTAGGGCAATTTCCAAAATTAAATAACTCTAGTACAGCAATAAAAAAGTGATACTACACCATAACTGTCTAACATTTTACACTTTCAAGTAACTTCTATATCTACTTTAATTTGTTTATAAATCTAAATAGAAGCATCAGAATCTAAATGTGACATAAGTATTTGTAAATCTCTCTATCCTAAAAGATGGAGACCATTCAGCAGCAGGGTATTCCAACATTGGTATCATCCGGAAGCATGCACAAGAAATTAGCATGAAACACGTAAATAGTTCAGGATTATGCCCTGTAATCAAAAGTACTTTCCATGACTTCTACATTTTATTCCCAGGGAAAAACACTGAAGGGAAACCTTGCTCTTCCCGTAGTGGGGATTACTTTTTTTTAAACCACATGCTCTACTTCGGTGAGTACACTGGTTCCCCATTCCCCATAATTCCCAAAGTAACCTTTTGAAATGCAAATCAGACCATACCAATCCCCTGTTTAAGAACCCCCAGTAGCTTCCCACTGCACAGAGAAAAAAATCCAACCTCTTCATTGTGGCCCACAAGATCCTCCATGACATGGTTCTGGCCTCTCATCTCATTACCTACCACTCTCCCCCCAGGATCCAGCCATCAGGCCTTTGCTTCAGGCTCTATTCCATCTCAGTGTCTTCATACAACTGTTTCCTCTGGCCTGAACTATTTTTCCTTCTTTTCTCCACATGGTTGGCTTCTGCTCATTCAATTCTCGATCAAATGTTACCTCCTCCTTCAACTTCTTTACCTATGCTAGCAGCAATCACTCTTTATCATATTATCCTACAATGTTTTTCATCATATTTACCATTTTTAAAAAACTTGTGTTTTTCCACGTCTTCCTACCTAGAACAGAGATGTTGAGTATGCTGTTCCCCCCTATTTCCAGCACCTAGAAGAGTGCCTGGCACATAGTAAACACTCAATAAACATTTGCTTAACGAATTAATGATGTTTGGAATTATAAAGTGGCAAAGACAGGATTTACAGACAATCAGTAAGTTGAAGGATAAGAAAGAGGAGGAAACCCCTGTGTAGAAAGTTCTTAAGTAGAAAGCAAGCAGAGCTAACAATATGAACACAGAAGGAGCTTAACTTCTGCCATTTGTTACAGGACCTGTCATTTTCACTCTGCAAATGAATAGACACCCGCAGATGCCTTTCAGACAGAAGGTGAATGCTTTACAGGCATAGATGGGAAATCTGTTTTTAGTGTTGGAGAGCTATATAGACAGGTTCTAGAAGCCACAAGATAGCTGGTAAGACTTCATTGAGATGGTATGTTAAAACAAAAAGAACCTTAGTTTTGCCATAGGGTAGAAATGACCTTATTCAATTAATAACCTTTTCTTCAGTCAAAACAGTAAGACAGAAAAAAAAAAAAAGGATCAGATATGAAAGCAAGAACACTTCAGTCTCCAAATCATAAAGCCACTTGGGAGAGGAAGAAAACCCAGGAGTAGTTTTCAGAAAAGCATATTTTGCCAAGTAACCTCCATGCTGACAAACCAGTCAGTCATTAGACAGTATATGGGTTCTTTTGCGATAAATGATCAAATACAGGCAGATCTTTGGGAACAAAACGGAACCGACAGATTACAGAGATGACAAAGAATGAAGAAAGATTTAATCTTAAAGGAAAGTGAAGCAAATAAAAAGGGAATTTTTAATTCCCAAAAAAACTCCCCAAATTTTTATAGTAAAATTGGTAAAATTAAGAGTTTTCCATGTATTATTCTTATTTAAAAACACAAAGAAGAAAATGCCGAGAGAGTTAAAAATAGTTAACCCTAGGAGAAGGAGATAACCATTTAGGTAGGGAACTACCATTTATGCTATCTTTTCACTTATTCCTTTGATCAAATTAAGGATAAATTTTAAGAAACCTGTTCAATAAAGATAATATAAACAGTAATGCAGACTAACTCCAACTTTGCATATATATATATTTTAATAAGGGAAGGCCTTTTTAACCCATCTTCATACTCATTTTAACATATAATCCCTAATATCAATTTGTTATTTTATTTCTGATGAAAGTAAATTTATATACATAAAACATCAGTTAATCCTAGATTTCAATTAATGAATTACCAGTTAGCTGAATTTGTTCTACACTAGAATTCTGGCATCAAGTCAGTCCTATGCCTACATCAGCGGCAGAATGGCGATTTGAGTATACAATGTATATTCAACCTTTAGACTGTATTGAACAACAAGAAATCCTGACGTATAGCAAGGGGAAAATCTTCTCATTAGATGTACCTGTTCCACATAAACAGGAGGCAGTAAAAAGAGCACTTCCTTAGACAACACAATTCTATAAATCAATAAAAGTTATGTTTTCAAATAATATTTAAGCATCTAAGAACATGTATATCATAAAATGGTATTTTTTTTTTTTTTGCCGGTTATAAAACGAAGTATTATATAAAACACGTTTGTTAAAAAAAGTCTTAAAAAGTACCTACAAAGCATAAACAGTGTTGGGATAATAGGTGATTTTTATTTTCTTTTTTCTAAAGTTGCCTTCAGTGAGCATATATTACTTTTAGGGGAAAAATGTTAAAGTAAGTCATTAACATAAAGGACAAATCTGAGAGTGTCAGAATACAAAGAAGTGGGAGAGAGATGAAAACAATAACAGAAGATGTCATGGAAGACAGATGAAATACGGGCCGGGTGCGGTGGCTCACAGCTATGATCCCAGCACTTTGGAAGGCCGAGGCAGGCAGATCACTTCAGGTCAGGAGTTTGAAACCAGCCCAGTCAACATGGTGAAACCCCATCACTACATAAAAATTTAAAAATTAGGTCAGGAGCAGTGGCTCAACCCTGTAATCCCTGCACTTTGGGAGGCTGAGGCAGGCAGATCACCTGAAGTCAGGCGTTCAAGACTGGCCTGGCCAACAAGGCAAAACACTCTCTCTATGAAAAATATAAAAATTAGCCAGGCCTGGTGCCATGCACCTGTAATACCAGCTACTTGGGAGGCTGAGGCAGGAGAATTGCTTGAACCCGGGAGGTGGAGGTTGCAGTCAGCTGAGATCATGGCATTGCACTCCAGTCTGGGTGACAGAGGAGACTCTATCAAAATAATAAATAAATAAATAAATAAATATACAAAAATTAGCCAGGAGTGATGGCAGGCACCTGTAATCCCAGTTACTTGGGAGGCTGAGGCAGGAGAATCTCTTGAACCCAAGAGGTGGAGGTTTCAGTGAGCCAAGATTGTGCCACCGCACTCCAGCCTGGACGAAAAAGCAAGACTCTGTCTCAGGGGGGAAAAAAAATGTATAATATAATAAAATAAAATAAAATAAATAATAATGTATAATAAAAGTAAAATAATGATAAAGAGTTCTCAAAATCTTACAATAAATGGATCAGAAACAGTAATCAGACACATAATAAAACATTCTTGATCTAAAATAAATACGGAGGTCTGAGATGGGAGCTACTACTATGTTCTAGGTATACAATTAACAAAAACTAGGCAGAGAAAAAACATTAATGATAAGGAAACAAAAAAATCCAAATGGCCTCAGACTTCTCCATAATCCTAAATACTAAGTAGAGCAGTATTTACAAAATTTGGAGTGGAACAGTTAGTGTCCTGAGGTGGCTATGCCTACCCAAGTCTGACAGCACAGAAAGAAATTATCATGTGTGCATACGCTAAGGTAAAATAGCATTCACACTACCTACCCCTCCTTTTTTTTTGAAATGGAGTTTTGCTCTGTTACCCAGGCTGGAGTGCAGCTCACCACAACCTCCACCTCCCCAGTTTAAGCGATTCTCCTGCCTCAGCATCCCGAGTAGCTGGGACTACAGGCATATGCTACCATGCCCGGTTTAATTTCTTTGTACATTTAGTAGAGTTGGGGTTTTGCCATGCTGGCCAGGCTGGTCTTGAACTCCTGACCTCAAGTGATCCTCCCACCTTGGCCTCCCAAAGTGATGGGATTACAGGCATGAGCCACCATGCCTGGCTACCCTTCTTGAAAAGGTTGCTTGAGTGAAGCACTCAGCTAATTAAGAGTTAAGTTTAAACTAAAAATTCATAGATGGGAAAATTGTGGTATAAAAGGACTACTGACACTAATTTTACATAGAAAGTTATATATAACTACATAATTAATGCAAAATAAAAATTGAGATGATTAAAAAATAACATGAATGTATAAATTTTATTAAAAAATAATAAAGTTGGCAGGAGAAAAAAGGGAAGAGAAGAGCTAAGTGAATGTTTGTTAAATGCCTAAGTTACTACTTCGTTCTGGACTTTGATAAGAGAGAAACTTTGAAATATGCCTTTTAGTTGTGCTTTTCCAAATAATTTTAAAGTTGGTTTAGTGATGGTTGCTTGTAACAAAGACACATCGTACTGTCAGACAGCTGAATGCTGGTGCACCTTTGTTTTGTTTTTAAAAAATACCCATATCCCAACAAACACCTCATCTACAAGCGTGCCTGTCACTGTGATGTCAGCATCAGGAATATCCCATGGCCATAGGCTATAATAAGCCTATTGAGAACAATCCACATATTATAAAAAGCTTATTAAAGTTACCCACAAGAAAGATTACACTAAACAATCTGTTTATCACATGAATGCACAGAAGATACATACCTGCACACTGGCTGTTACCACTGAAGACCCTGAGGCAGTAGATGGTCTATGTGGAGTAGACAATGGTTTGGTAGCACCCTGTGTTCCACTTCCTGTTCCCCCAGATAGACTAGTCCTATTAGCTCCGCTTGAGTTAAGGTTGCTACTACCTCTGCTGGCAGGTACATTCATTGCAATTCCACTCAAGCTATTCTTCCCAACAGTTCCAGTGGATGATGAGTTTGTTAGCTTTGAGGGGGCCTGAAGATTTTTTGTAGATGGAAGGCCTGAAGTGCGGTTAGAGGGCAATAAATTCAAGGTGGGAGACTGTCTGCTGATATTCATTCCACTGGGCTGTTTATGGACTGGGTTGTTGGTGCTGGAGTGGCTACTCTGGGCTACTAGTGCATTTGGACTTGTACTACTAGAGGATACAGTAGGCTTGGGAGCTGGGTTGGATTTAGAAATAAGTTTAGTTGATACTGAAGGCTTAGCTGACAGAGAGGGCTTGGGTGAGGCAGAAGGCTTAGGTGAGGGCAGGGGTTTAGGAGATGTGGCAGGCTTGGGAGATGCTGCAAGTTTGGGGGAGGCAGCCATTGAGAACGGAGATTTGAAACCCTGCGTGGAGATTTGTGATACCATAGCCTTGGCTAAATAGTTACTGGAGGTAGTGGTGCTAGGTACTGTCCTAGAAACCAGGGGGTGGGACCCTTGAGAACCATTTCCAGGTGAGGGGGTAGATAAGGGAAGGCGGTACATAAGTGGCTTATCTGAAGTCTTAATAAGCGAGGAGGAACAGGAGAGTTGGGGATTATTACTTAATTTCACCACGGGGTTGGCCTGGGATTTACTGATGGTGGCCTGTAATGGAGACACATAGTTCTGCTGGACAGCTGAATGCTGGTGCACCTTTGTTACTTGTGTTAACGAAGAAGCATCTTGGGCCTCAGATGTTCCCAGAGCATGAGAAGAGGCAGCAATTTGGGCTTGGGAGGAAGAGGAGACGTGAGTCTGTGAAGAGGAGGAAGTGTGAATCTGGCTTGACCTTTGAAGTCCTTGCTGAAGTAGCCTGGCTGGCAGAGGTTCTAAAGAAACTTTAGGGTTCTGAATGGAAGAACCAGCAATAAGGCCTGAAGAGATGCCGGTATGAGCTAAATCCTGGGGTTTCTTTGGTACTGGCCCCGTGTGACCAGCAATAAGACTTGAAGAATGTGTAGTCTGAGTAGAATCTAGTTTTTTCGGAGTAGCCAGTGGCAGCTTACTCATGATACTTGCTAACTTTTCTTCTCTCAGTCCTGGACGAGGCTTTGTGGTTGGCATGCTTATCCTTGAGCCAACCGGAGGGCCCTTGTTTCCATTGTTGATAACCGCTAAAGCTTCAGAAACAAGATCCAGTGAAGGTGAAGGGAAAGAAAGGTCTTCATCTAGTGAGTCATCGAGGCAGATGGTTTCTTGGGCTGATACAGAGCTAGAGCTGGCTGCGGCAACGGCAGTTGTGCTGGTGCTCGTTGGAGGACCGCTAACTGGAGCCACAAGGGATGAAGGAGTTTTCTGGTCCTTTTTTGGACTACACTCCTAATGTGAAGCATCATATGGAAAAAAATAGAAATGGTGAATAAAAAATTACAAAGTTCATTTTAAATAACTAAGATTCGCATGACAATCAAAATTGTTTTTCTACTGAAAATCTTTAGAGACTATCAAACAAAAATAATTTTTGAGATGACAGAGTTCCTGACTGAGCTGTCCTCACAAGACAAAGTATCTGATATATTACACATAGCTGTCATACCTTAGTAAGCTTAACACCAAGTGGAAGGAACATTCATATACTAGTTACATTACTGATGAGCCTCCCTCACCGGCATCAGATCTTCAAATCCTGCTCCAAATCCATTTGTTCAGATTATGCTTTTTATTCCCCTGCACTCAGGAGAAATTCTGCCTTTATATTAAGATACTCCCCTTCTAGTCTGGATGGTTTGCCATGAGGCTGACCTTCACTTTCTGCTTCCATGCATTTCTGCCTCTTTGTTTTCCCTACCCTACAGCCAGTACATAGGAAAACTGGTACGTCAAAGTGGCAGATGACTCAATCCGAGCATATATAAATTATGCTTTCTATTTATTATTGTGTATCTGTAACTTATTTATAAATTATTCATTTCTCATTTATTCAATATACATTCACTAAGTATCTGCTGTGAACAGGGCCCTATGCTAAGAAAACAAGGGTAATTAAGAATTAGAACTCTGAATACCTCAGAGTTGTTAGAGTCAAAAAAAGAATCAACCTTCTTTAATATTTAAGAAAAAGAATTAGAGAACAGTTTATAATATTCAAAGAGCAAAATAATTAAAAAGCAAGTATTTATTTATTCCTATTTATTTAGTTATTTTTTGAGACAGAGTTTTGCTCTTACTGCCAAGGTTGGAGTACAATGGCTCCATCTCAGCTGACTGCAACCTCCACTTCCCAGGTTCAAGCAATTCTCCTGCTTCAACCTCCCGAGTAGCCAGGATTACAGGCAAGCACCATCATGCCTGGTTAATTTTGTATATATATTTTTTTAGTGGAGATGGGTTTTCTCCGTGTTAGTCAGGTTGGTCTCGAATTCCCAACCTCAGGTGATCCGCCCACTTTGGCCTCCCAAAGTGCTGGGATTACAGGCATGAGCCACTGCACCTGGCCACAACTATTTATTTTTAAAGAGAAATATAAAGTGTTTGACTCATTTTATTTTTAAGATTGAGAAGCAAAAATGTATGACATAAAAGTCATATCAAGTCTCTTCAATTAGTTTCTTAAACAAACCTAGAGTGTTATGTTACATACTGATTTATACAACCATAGCACTTACCTTAAGCATAGTGGGGAAAGAATGGAGAGGAAGGGTCTTTACCATCACCTCCTAAGGTATTACATAAGCAAGCTGTTAAGAATACCGTTATACCCTAACTTCCTTAGTACTTTTTCTAAGCTTTTATTCTAAAACCCCTGATTAAAAACCTCATTGCCTATTGGAAGTACAAGTGTAACTGCATTAAGGTCACAAATGTCTGCTAAGAAGAATGGTTAATGTAGACGAGACATGTCTGTTTTGATATGCCATCCACTTACGTGATTAGTGAAAACGCCATTATTATAAAAAGTACAAAATAAAGGGTGAGAAATGTATCCAAATGTTGCAAGAATTAATAGTATAAAAGTGCTGTTTAAAAATAACTTTTTGATTATTAATTTTTATTTATAAAAATATCAAACCCACTGTAATAGAATACTATGTAGATTTATACTAGCAGAGAAAATTATCCAGGATACATAACGTAGTCAAAAAAGCAGGTTATCCCATTTATATAAAAAGACTAAATAAATGGATAGCTGATTGGATAGATGGATGAATGGAAGGGAGGGAGGGAGGAACAGAGTTCCAAAAGAAGGAAAGGAAAATGTGCCCTAGAAAGCTAAGAGCTTTTATTCTCTGACTGAGGAGAAATTTATAGATATTTTTACTTTTCTCCTTACTTTTCTGTGTTATTTGCATTTTCTATTGCAGGCATTTCCTTATCTTACCTTTATAACTAGAAACAGTATGGGGAGTTACAGTAGCAAAAAACCACATCAACAACATAGCTTTTCCATTTTGGGAAAAGGAGAAAGTAATTTAATCACAAAGAAGGAAACAACCTGATGACTCACCCATATCCTAACGCATCCAGTATTAGAATGTATAAATTTCCTATCCAATTATTGTATCAATCATACATTTAAAATTTCCTATCCAATTATTGTATCAATCATATGTTTAAACAGATGTATCAAAATGTAACCAATCCTTTATGGAGGGTATGAAGACTTTAGTATTCTAATATACAAATAAAGTGTCAAAGTCTAAACTCAATGGACTTAATGAAAGATTGGCTCGGTATTATTTGGATCAGAAGACAAAGCAGGTTATTAAGAAAAAGAGAATTACTGGCCAGGCACGGTGGCTCACACCTGTAACCCCAGCACTTTGGGAGGCTGAGGCCGGCGGATCATGAGGTCAGCAGTTTCAGAACAGCTTGACCAACATGGTGAAACCCCGTCTCTACTAAAAATACAAAAATTAGCTGGGGGTAGTGGCGCGCCCTTATAATCCCAGTTACTCAGGAGGCTGAGGCAGGAGAATTGCTTGAACCCGGGAGGTGGAGGTTGCAGTGAGCCGAGATCGCGCCACTGCACTCCAGCCTGGGTGACAGAGTGAGACTTCATCTTTAAAAAAAAAAAAAAAAAAAAACGATAAAGAAAAAGAGGACTATTTACCCTGCATTTTAAGAGGCTGTAACACCAAAAAGGCAGGAAGGCCAAAGAATAATGAATATTGAGATCTGGCCACAATCTTACAAGTAAAGAAACTCATCTATTAAAAACAACAAGAAAAAACCAAGGAGACAAGGGCTACAGAGCGAAGTGTAAAAACCAGAGGGGGATGAGCTTTCATTAAAATTTTAATTTCAAATGATTATAGTTTTTACTTCCAGAGATTATACTTTGATTCTCTTTCAAATCTACTTTGTCTGTTTTCATAGGATATTTTTTATTCTTTGCTATTTCTCTAAATATTAAAAAAAAATTAAGCAAAATTATTTTAAGTATGGAACTCCATAAATGTACTACTTGTCCATCTTAGGACTGTTCCTTAAGGTTTTTACTGTTCCTCCTGATTCTCACTCATAGTAACTTATTCTTTCATGTATTCTGTATTTCAGATTGTAAGCTCAGGTCTGATGTGGTTTATAGGAGGAAGGCCTTTGAGGCCTCCGAAGAGGGCATGTTATACCAGGGAGAATTTGATTTTTATTTATTTATTTTTTTGCTAGTAGTCCTGGGTTACTACTAATGTAATAACTAAGCTACTTTTTTTTTTAGCTTGGGGTTTTCTCAGATTGTACAGAGAGTGTAAATTAAACTCCTAAGCCAAGGAAATTTTTTAGCAAAGACATTCCAAGACAGACACTTTTCTTAGTGTCTCTGCTGGTGGCTGCATTTTTTTCTAGTCCTTTCTTTTATGAAAGACGTTATTGTTTGAAGGTCCAGCTTTATGCAGGTTTCATCCCAATTTTCAACCTGTACAAGCCCAAGGAAACTCTAACTGCTATGCTCTGAGAAGAAATGTAAAAAGAAACCATCAAGTGATGGACACAAAGTGTCAAATGCCTCCAAGGGCAATGACAATGGATTAACACTGTCAGCTCCTTCTGTTTTTGGTCTTAGGAATTTTTCTTACATATTTTCAATCTCAGCTATGCTATGAAAGAATATTTGTTATATTTTACCTAGCATTTCCAAGTATTAATAAAGTTAAGCTTTACAGTCAGTGTATGCACATTTCCCACTGTTACATTGAAATCTATTGTCCCAAATACAGAAGTTCTAAGAGTATCAGGAAGTTGAAAACACCTATCTTATAGTGCCTACTGACCTTTGCTAAATACCGTATTTCCTTTTCATCTTAGGAATGTATTTCAACATTCACCAATTATAACTAATTAAAGATTTTGTTTCAAGACTTACCTTTACTTTGGGTTTAGGTGCAGTAATCACCTTTTTCTTTGCCCTAGGATAAACAGATTTAAAAAGGCGATTTCAGTAGCAATATTACATATTGCTCATCAGAAAGTTATAACATATAACTTTGTAATTATGTAATTATGTGGTAAATAATTTCTTCTGCTATTTGGAAAGCTCTCTGAAGGAAGTGTATTTAAATGCTCAGTTTATAATAAGTATATAGCAACACTTTCCTCAATTCACATTAATTCAAAGAAAGGTCAAACAACTGGTAAAATATGAAATGTTGATAAAATTAAATGTAAATACATAAACTATAAAATAACCCAAAAACCTAACAAAGCTGCCTAAACAGACTTACTCAAAAAACTGGTAAGAATTTACAATTATCTGTTAAGGAACTTCAAGCTCAATTAAACCATGCCAAGAAGGTGTGAATGCAATTTAACTTAATCAAAACAAAAAAATCCCTCAGTTTTTAAAGAAATTATTTTGTAATGTAAAAATTAAAAAAAAAAGTCAAAATGATAGGGAGAAAAAAGGGAAAGAAAAATTACTTTGAAACTTTTGGTAAACTATGAAAAAGTTTGAAGACTGCCGGGCGTGGTGGCTCACACCTATAATCCCAGCACTTTGGGAGGCCAAAGTAGCGGGTAGATCACAAGGTCAAGAGATCGAGACCATCCTGGTCAACAAGGTGAAACCCTGTCTCTACTGAAAATACAAAAATTAGCTGGGCATGGTGGCGCATGCCTGTAGTCCCAGCTACTCGGGAGGCTGAGGCAGGAGAATTGCCTGAACCCAGGAGGCGGAGGTTGCAGTGAGCCAGGTCGCGCCATTGCACTCCAGCCTGGGTGACAAGAGTGAAACTCCATCTCGAAAAACAAAACAAACAAAAAACGGAAAAGTTCAAAGATTAAAAAAAACTAACGATTTCCAAGGTAAGTCAACGTATCCAAAAGTTTGTTGAATAATTAATGTGTTGACAAGCTAAAATACTTCAGCTTATCTACTTCACTTGCCTAAAGTGTCATCAATTAGATTAACAAGAATCCTGATGAAAACTGTCACTTCACAACTTCATTTAGGCAACAATAATTTTCTAAGTTTTTTTGATGACGGCCATTTAGGGAAAGAACCTCTAGACCCACTTATCCCACAGATTCCTACTTTCTGGTACAAAACAAAACACAAAGTTAACAATAATAATGAAGCTATTCTAAAAAAGGAGAAGGGCTGGGAGCACCTGGAATCCGAGCACTTTGGGAGGCCAAGGTGGGCGGACTGCCTGAGCTCAGGAGTTCAAGACCAGCCTGGGCAACACAGTGAAACCCTGTCTTAAAAAAAAAAAAGGCCGGGTGCGGTGACTCAAGCCTGTAATCCCAGCACTTTGGGAGGCCAAGGCGGGGTGGATCACGAGGTCAAAAGATCGAGACCATCCTGGTCAACATGGTGAAACCCCGTCTCTACTAAAAATACAAAAAATTAGGTAGGCATGGTGGCGCACACCTGTAGTCCCATCTACTCGGGAGGCTGAGGCAGGAGAATTGCCTGAACCCAGGAGGCGGAGGTTGCAGTGAGCCAGGTCGCGCCATTGCACTCCAGCCTGGGTAACAAGAGCGAAACTCCGTCTCAAAAAAAAAAAAAAGGGAGAAGGAGGCCGGGCACAGTGGTTCACACCTGTAACCCTAGCACTTTGGGCCAAGACAGGCAGATCACTTGAGGCCAGAAATTTGAGACCAGCCCGGCCAATGTGGTCAAACCCTGTCTCTACTAGAAATACTAAAATTAGCCAGGTGTGGTGGCGCATGCCTGTGATCCCAGCTACGTGGGAGGCTGAGGAGGAGAAGTGCTTGAACCTGGGAGATAGAGGTTACAGTGAGCTGAGATCATACCACTGAACTCCAGACTGGGCAACAGAGCAAGACTCCCTCTCAAAAGGAGGAAGGGAGGGAGGGACGGTGGGGGGAGGGAGGGAGGGGGAGGGAGGGAGAGAGAGAGAGAGAGAGAGAGAGAGAGAGAGAGAGAGAGAGAGAGAGACAGTGTGACATCTTTTGTAAACACCTTTAGAATTAAAGGAATGCATTATTTGTACCTGAAATGTAAGGCATACATGGCTTTAGATTTACTGTAGCCCCCCCTATCCACAGTTTTCAATTTCTGCAGTTTCAGTTGCCTGTGGTCAACTGAGGTCTGAAAATATTAAATGGAAAATTCCAGAAATAGAGAGAAAACCACATTCACTTAATTTTTATCATAGCAGAGTTAAATTGTTCTCTTTTATTATTGCTGTTGTTAATCTCTTACTGTGCCCAATCTGTAAACTAGGATCTATCATAGGAATGTATATATAGGAAATAACAGTCTATTTAGGCTTCAGTACTGTCTGTGGTTTTGGCATCCATCGGTGGCATTTTGGAGTATACTGTCTGAGGATAAGAGGGACTACTGTATAGGGAAATTAAAGCCAAAAATATTACTGACACAAATATATAAATATGTATATAAAATTTATTTCAAACACAACAAAAACACTTGCAACAAAGTAAACCTATAATATGAAACCAAACTACTTAGAATTTATACTAAAAAAACAATAAGAACTGAAAACCACAACCAACTCAATGCATCCCTGATGATATACAGTTGACCCTTGAGGATGAAGACCTTTATGATGATTCACTCCACTTAATGAACAGTAAATATAATTTCCCTTATTATCTTCTTATTAACATTTTCTTTCCTCTAGCTTATGTTATTATAAGAATATGGTATACAGTACATAAAATGTACAAAATGTGTTCATGAACTATTTACATTATCAGTAAGGCTTCCGGTCAACAGTAGGCTATTAGTAGTTATGTTTCGGGAGACTGAAAGTTACACGTGGATTTCCGACTGTGTGGAGTGAGGGGATGAACTCCCTAACTCTTGTAATGAAGTATCCTTCCTAAAAACTAAAACATTCCTATATAACTGCATACAAGGAGAGGAGGAATTTTATAATGTTGCCCAAAAGATGTTAAACACATCTCTTAGCAGAATACTGAATTAGAGTGTTCAGTAAATCCAGAGTAATTTGCCAATTTTATATTTTAATAATCCTGACCCCCTCTCCTTTTTCCTTTTGGAAACAAGGTCAGCTGTGTCCCCCCAGGCTGGAGGGCAGTGGCATGATCTCCACTCACTACAACCTCCGCTTTTCTGGCGTAAGCCATTCTCCCACCTCAGCCTCCTGAGTAGCTGGGACTACAGGCACACACACCACCATGCATGGCTAATTTTTTATTTTTTGTAGGGGTCGAGTTTCACCATGTTGCCCAGGCTAGTCTCAAACTCCTGGACTCACGCAATCCACCCACCTCAGCCTCCCAAAGTGCTGGGATAACAGGCATGAGCCACTGTGCTGGCTTTAATACAAGGGTTATTAAATGCCACACTTGTAGGCTACAGAGAAGTAGCCCTAAGTTGTAGGGAAAAATAAAACTGTTCTGCAATTGACCAATATTCAACCAAAAAGGTTGAATTATTTTTATAGCAGTTAGTAACATAATAACAGAAAAAACTTGCTTTTTGTTGTATATGGGGGGGATAAAATATCTTTCTCTAGTAATCACATCACTAAGGAAATACCTAGTTTTGAACACAAGGAATGACCTGAAGAGTAGGTTAATTTTGCGAAATAAAACACTGCAATGCAACAAGGGTGGATGAGCACATGGATCTGTCCTGGTAAGCTCAGGGCAGCAGGGGGCTGTAGATGACAAACGCAGATGAACATTAAGAGGCAGAGAAAAAACTGGCAGGTAGAAGGCCCAGGAACAAATGAAAACTTCTGAACCTTCCTGCTTCCCTACTGCCAGAATCCCAGGCCATATGTGCCCCAGTATGGATTTAGTAGGTAGGAACTCCCATATGGCTTCCCAAGGAAGCCACTGCTTCCTTATACTAGGGAAGAAAGAGATCAATTTGTGTTCTGAAGTCTAAACAGTCAATGGTCAAAACGATCTTTTTAAGTCCTAGTCCAACTAGCATTTAATAAATGATATTTTTGTCTACTAAACTGCATAATGCGAATAAATGAAGCAATCTGGAGACTGCATTTACTCACGGAGCAGAAGTAAGATGATTATGAACACTCCGGCTTTCCTTAAAAAGCATTCTGGAAAAATTTAAAGAACACAATTATTTTTTTTTTATAGCAGATAATATGATAATTGCTTTATTTTTTAAAGTAACTTAATTTCCAATCAACTATTACTTGCTTATTTACCAAGTAAAAGTTATAATGGTACAGTATACTTAATAATCTATTTTATGGAGAGTTTTATTCACAGCTCACTGTAACCTAGGCCTCCTGGGCTCAAACAGTCCTCCTATCTCAGCCTTCAAAGAAGCTGGAATTACAGGTGTGTGCCACCATGCCCAGCTAATTTCTAAAACTTTCTGCAGAGACAGAGGTCTCACTATGTTGGCCAAGCTGATCTTGAACCCCTGGCCTCAAGCAATCCTCTCCCCACGGCCCTGGGCTTCCTAAAGTGCTGAGATTACAGGGGTGAGCTACCATACCTGGCCAACAGATCTTTTTGTTGATATAAGATGGAGCACTTTAAGATCATGGGTTGAACTACTCAGGTTTATTATTTTTTACACTCTTTGACTCTTTTTTTTTTTTAGACAAAGTTTTGCTCTTGTTGTCCAGGCTGGAGTTCAATGGCGCAATCTTGGCTCACTGTAATTTCTGTCTCCTGGGTTCAAGTGATTCTCCTGCCTCAGTCTACTGAGTAGCTGGAATTACAGGTGCCCATGACCACACCCAGCTAATTTTTATATTTTTAGTAGATACACGATTTTACCACGTTAGCCAAGCTGGTCTCAAATTCCTCACCTCAGATGATCCACCTGCCTTGGCCTCTCAAAGTGCTGTGATTACAGGTGTGAGCTACCGCAACAGGCCACATTCTTTACTTAACCCTTGAGACTCCAAATAGAGCAACTCTTAGTTTCTTAAAGCATCTCTCTACACTGAATATTTTCTTTCTTTCTTACTTACTTTTTGAAACGGGTCTCACTATGTTGCCCAGGCTGATCTTAAACTCCTGGGCTCTAGTGATCCTCCCACCTTGGCCTTCCAAAGTGCTGGGATTACAGGTGTGAGCCACTGCACCTGGCCTATACTGACTATTTTCAATAGCACCTAAGGCAGTGTCTCTTTTCCTATGCTCTAATCCCATATTCAGTTCCCTATCTTCATGTTACCCAAATGAAGCTCCTCTCCCAAACTTCATAACCATTTGGGAGTCTTCCCTCTTCCCTTTTTCTCTACCAGTAAATTTGGGTGTAAAAAAAAAACGTTAAGTAAAATTATCACCTTTACACCTATCTCTGTGTCTGCATGACTATTTTGTCATTTAAGTGCTTAAGGTTTTCAAAGCAAGGATCATCAGAGATGACAATACAGTATGCTGAATACATTAATTAGGTTCTTAGAAAAATCAATGTCACATATATGTATGTGTATCTTTAGTGAGAGCGAAAATAATAAAATAAAATCCAGTAAGTCGCATGTCTTACCTTGCCTGCATCCAGCCCTTAGGCCACAGGGGCTTCACCTCTGTCTCCATAAAAGACTTAAGATAATCTTCAGCAGACTGGCTTTTATTTGGCTCTAACTCATAGCATCCCAGTTTGATCTCAACAAGGTTACATAACAAAGTTCTAAGCAGATTGAAAATTAAATTTGAAACTTTTTTTAGAAGCACATACATTTGGCAGCAATCATAAAGACTATGTGAAAAATTCAGAAAATAACAATTTCTAACATGTATCATTCATTGAACTATAGTCAAACCCGTAATATGAAACAATTTTCTTTGACACCTTTAATCAAAGCGCCAAAGATCGAAAGGGATGGTTCTCTACTTGGGGTACAGAAATACTACTAAGAAAGATGGCCAAAGAAGAATTATGTTGAGAGTACTTAACCTTCTGAAACCAGTATGACTTACTCCATTATTAGATTAGTTTATAAAAAGTATTACAGTATATATGAAAATAAAAGCAATTACTACTCTAAAGATATTCGTGACTAATTACTTTTCTCTTTAATAATTTTTTCCTACACATTTATCTTTGCTTCCGATCCAGTTTTATATTTATTATAGATTTTTTTTTAAAATGAGAAACCTTCCTTCTGCATTATATATTAAAAGTGAAAACTAATTAAATCTTACCTGATGGTATCATCCCAGTGAAATTTCTTTCTTGGTCCTATGACACGTTTTCCTGGTTTCTCCTCATCATCTTCTTCAGATCCATTTTTTTCTCGTTCTTCATCTGTCTGCAATCTAAAAATGAAAAAACACTTTATAAAACAAACTTTTAACCCAACACAACTATATAATATGCTCCATAAACACTTGTCGAATTGCTTAGTTGAATGTTAAAAGAGAGGGTAAAGAGGAAATTTACCTTTCCCCATAATACTTTGAATTTGAAGGGAGTTATAGTTTGCTGAATAAGGTCTTCAAATTATAATGTAAAGGCACATAATTTGAAGACCTTATTCAGCAAACTACTTTATAACTTTTAGGTCAGAAAATATTTGCGTCCAACTACAGCAAGTCAAGTTTGGGTTGTGAAATGTCTCACCAATGTCAGCTCTTGCTTTGATCACCTCCATACAATCAATCAACAGACACCTTTTGCCTCTGACTTCAAAGCAACTGTCATTTACAAAATACTCAATTATATCATGTTAGTGGTATATGTGAATTTCAACATGAGAACAAGGTCCACATAACATCAGAACAACTAAAAGTACTTCTCTCAAATGCATGGCTGGGCATGGTGGCTCACGCCTGTAATCCCAGCACTTCGGGAGGCTGAGGCGGGTGGACCACCTGAGGTCAAGAGTTTGAGACCAGCCTGGCCAATGTGGTGAAACCCCCATCTCTACTAAAAATATAAAAATTAGCCGGATGTGGTGGCAGGTGCCTGTAATCTCAGCTACTCTTGAGGCTGAGGTAGGAGAACCTGGGAGGCGGAGGTTGCAGTGAGCCAAGATTGCACCACTGCACTCCACCTGGGCAACAGAGTGAGACTCCACATCAAAACAAATAAATAAATAAAAATACTTCTCAAATGCAAAAGCCAGTCCAAATAGAAGAGATACATACTTGGCACACTTAGCTTGACTACGAGCCTGGCAGTCCTCCTGGTATTTAAATAGCTGTTCAGGCATGACATTGCTAACAGCCAGTTTCAGTTTTTGCAGAGGTTCTCTTAAACGATCATCCTGAAAAGAAAAGCATACTAAAAGTTTTTATCAGACATATTTACAAAATTTTGTGAGGTCCTTGAAAGATGAAATTTATGTTTTAGATACCAATTATAGATTTGAAATATTAGCATACCTAAATATGTACATTTCTTCTATAGTACTGACTTTTCGTAATACACACTGGATACAAAATTAGAATGACATTTCCCAGTTAGCCAAGAAGAGTCCCAGTTTTTGCCTATTGCCCAGCATAATTATTAATAGTGCTCCTTTACACTCTTTAAAATGCCCCATGGACACTTTAATACAGATAATTAAATAGAAAACAAAATCTACATTGTACAGACTACTACTGGTTAATCTCCATTATGATGGGAAACCAGTATCCTAAGAAGAGACAATGCTCTGGAACACGAACACACGTGTTTGGTTTGGGTGACTACCAACCGGATGTTGGTATCCTGTTCTCTCACTTATGGTTAATCATTTTAACTTACACTGCAGGTAATGCAAGGTCAAGGCCAAAGTAAAAGAGGAACCTCAAAACTCTTATTCATGTGTATTTTCAGGGCCAAAAAGAAAGAAAGAAGGTTTGTACCTGATAGCTTTAATTAACCAATTTATTACTTTCATCTTACTAGCAACCGTATATATATGTAACTACTTGAAACATACTTTTATCACCATCATAGGTGATGAAATATTATAAGACTTTACTTTTCATCACTGAAACAATTTTTTTTTTTTTTTTGGAGACAGTCTCGCTCTGTCACCCAGGCAGGAGTGCAGTGGAACCATCTCGGCTCACTGGAACCTCCACCTTCTGGGTTCAAACAATTATTGTGCCTCAGCCACCCAAGTAGCTAGGACCACAGGTGCATGCCACCACACCCAACTAATTTTTTTATTTTTAGTGCTCCACCTCAAGTGATCCACCTGCCACAGCCTCCCAAAGTGCTAGGATTACAGGCATGAACCACCCAGCCAAAAACAACTGTTCTTTAAATGTGATTTTTGGTGAAGAAAAGATTTTTAGCCAGGCACGGTGGCTCACGCCTGTAATCCCAGCACTTTGGGAGGCTAGGGCGGGCGGATCACGAGGTCAGGAGTTTGAGACCGGCCTGACCCAACAAGGTAAAACCCTGTCTCTACTAAAACTACAAAAATTAGCTGGGCATGGTGGCACATGCCTATAATCTCAGCTACTCAGGAGGCTGAGACAGGAGAACTGCTTGAACCCGGGAGGTGGAGGTTGCACTGAGCCAAGATTGCACCACTGCACTCCAGACTAGGTGACAAAGTGAGACTCCATCTCAAAAAAAAAAAAAAAAACCACAAAATATTTTTAAAACACAAATATTACAAATAAGCATATTAACCTATTCCATGAATACCAGTAAATAAATATCATAGCACATATGACATAAAATCCTATGTTTAAAAATGTGAACATCCAGTCAGGCGAAGTGGCTTGTGCCTATAATCCCAGCATTTTGGTAGGCCACTGTGGGAGGATCACCTGAGGTCAGGAGTTTGAGACCAACCTGACCAACATGGAGAAATACCATCTATATTACAATATAAAATTAGCCAGGCGTGGTGGTGCATGCCTGTAATCCTAGCTACTTGGGAAGCTGAGGCAGGACAACTGCTTGAACTAGGGAGGCGGAGGTTGCAGTGAGCCAAGATAAGTGCCATTGCACTCCACCCTGGGTAATAAGAGCCAAACTCTGTCCCCTCCCCCCAAAAAAGTGAACATCCAGAATTCATGGTTCCTAAATGATTACTTTTGAAGAATTACGTAGTTTAGACTATCTGCCTGGAAACAACCCAAATATCCACAAATAGTAAAATAAAATGGACAAATTAATGGGGATATATTCACACAATGGAACACTGTGTACACAGCAGTAAAAATGAATATATTTCTGACCAGGCACAGTGGCTCATGCTGTAATCCTAGTACTTTGGGAGGCCAAGGTGGGCAGATCACCTGAGGTCAAAGGTTAAAGACCAGCTTGGCCAACATGGTGAAACCCTGTCTCTGGTGAAATACAAAAATTCATTGGGCATGATTGTAGGTGCCTGTAAACCCAGCAACTCAGGAGGCTGAGATGGGAGAATTGCTTGATCCTGGGAGACGGTGGTTGCAGTGAGCCGAGATCACACCACTGCACTCTAGCCTGGGTGATAGAGCGAGACTCAATCTCAAAAAAAAAAAAAAAAAAAAAAAAGAATGTATTTCTACTATATGTATAAGATAAATCTGAGGTGCACAATATTGAGCCTTAAAAGCTGCCAAAGAAAGCAGAGAGTATTTATATAAATGAAGCTCAAAAATATGCAAAATTAAATACAATGTTTAGGGATACAAATATATGTGATAAAACCATATAAAGAAGAGCAAGGATAAGGTATCTTTCTTCCATAGCCAAAGGGATGTTAAGTAACTTCAAACTTGCCAGGGGTTCAAGACCAGCCTGGGTAACATAGCGGGAACCTGTCTCTACAGATGAAAAATTTAAAAATGGCATGCATGGTGATGTCAGCCTGTAGTCCCAGCTACTTGGGAGGCTGAGGTGGGAGGATGCTTGAGCCCAGGAGGTTGAGGCTGCAGTGAGAGCCATGTTTATATCACTGCACTCCAGCCTGGGCAAGAGCAAGACCCTGTATCAAAAGAGAAAAAAAAAAAAGGTGAGTACCTATATTTAAAAAAAACTGTTTGTCAGGTCATACCTACTATATTAATTTACATCCAACAATCTGTTTTAGAAAACATTTCTCCTCTGAACTTATCAATTGTTGAAGACCAATTATTTTTCAGGGGATCCAACATACTTTTAATAACCTCCTATGATTATTGAATACATACAATATGACTATAAATCAATTGATGTGCAAAGGCCCCAAATAGAAACAAGTATCTTTACAGGTTATGAAACCCAAGATGCAGATATTATTGTTCTTCCTCTTACCTGGACATTGAGATGTAACTTCTTTAGACGTTTTACTAGTGTTTCTTTATTGCATGGCACAAAAGCTTCAAGGTGGGAGTAGACACCACTGCGAATGACAGGGCCTAGTTCTTGTAGCTGTAACTCAATGCTGGCCAAAAAAATTAACAACAATGAACAGTATAGAATTTATTTTAGGTGGCATACAGACAAGAAGGCAAAGGCGGTTCTTGTTCTCATTTTATCTTTCCATGATTTCCTAAACAGTATTCTTCACGGGGGAAAAAAGAAAAACCCATAGCAATAAATAGTTTATTCGTTTATTTTATTTATTTATTTTGAGATTAATTTTCATTCTTGTAGCCAAAGCTGCAGTGCAATGACATGGTCTCGGCTCACTGCAACCTCTGCCCCCTGGGGTTCAAGTGATTCTCCTGCCTCGGCCTCCCAGGTAGCCAGGGTTATAGGCACCTGCCACAATGCCTGGCTAATTTTTTTAGATTTTCAGTAGACATAGGGTTTCACTATGTTGGCCAGACTGGTCTCAAACTCCTGACCTCAGGTGATCTTGGCCTCCCAAAGTGCTTGGAATACAGGTGTGAGCCACTGTGCCCAGCCCCATACCAATAAATAGTAATGCTATAGAAAACATTTTTTCAGTCTAGTTTAAGGGTAGAACTTCCATAACCATGAACGAGCTGGAAATATTTTTGGGGTGACAGGGGCAAACTCTTATATTTTCAGGTAAAGCACAATAAATCTGTAATTAACCAAAAGCTCCCTTCCTCCAAGAGATATTATACTACCCCTTGGCCCACTGGCAATTGCTTGGCAGGTCAAGACTGCAGTGAGCCATGATCACATCACTACTCCAGTCTGGGGTAATAGAGTGACCCAGTGTCACTTTTTTTGACCCACTGTCAAAAAAAGAAAAAAGAAAAGAAAATTTATGAGCAATGTCTGTTTTGGGTAGCAGGAAAGGAAATCAAGGCAGCAGGCCAAATTCAATCAGGCAAAAAAAAAAAAAGTGTGGGTGGGTCCCTATTCCAACAAATTAATGTCTTTCTTCCCTAGGATAAGGGAGCAATGGCTTCCTTGGGAAGCCATATGGGAGTTCCTACTCTAAATAATCATGTTCCATGTTCTTTTAGAAGGGCAACTCAATACAGAAAATGAGACATGTTTGTTTAGGGAAGTAGAAAAAGAGGCTGAGGGAATAAGAAATTGACTAAACGGAAAAAATTCAACTCAGAACACTAACACTTATGAAACTGGAGGCATATCCTTTATAAAATAAAAAGTAGATGGGCTCCAAAAATAAGAAGATTCATTTTAAGGCAGATAGGAGAGGAATAAACATGGAAGCCAGTTAATGGAATAGTGAAATTCTGCTTATCTGAGATGCCAGGTCCCAAGGATGGTCTTTTGACTCTCCTGGGAGAGAAACAGTTGTTCCCTTTTACAGAAGAGTAAAATAAAAAAGAACAGTCTCAGTCACAAGAGAAGGACCTCATCACACTTTGGGTTCTCAGGTGGAAAGAAAAAGAAACGTTGGTCAGATCCCTGACTAAGGAATCTGGGACAACTCTAACAAGTAATGGCTGTACTGTTCATTGAGTCCGGGGTTTTAAAGGGAGCTAGGTAAAAGGAGGTGGTGTAGACAGGAAGCACTTGCCTGGCTGCCAGGCAGAAAGACTCCACCTGAAAATTCCTGGTTAAAATAACTAAGAACAGAAATGAGGAACTCTGCCACCATACTAGCAGCAGACTCGGTTATATGTTTTCTGAGTCTATTTTTAAGCACTTCAAAATAAGAGACTGTAATACATTACAAGCATTATCAGAAGCAATCAATCAATCAGCCCTTCTTTACATCTCATGAGACACTATCTCCATTATGCATTTAAAAGATGGGAATCATAGTATTATAAATATTACTTTCCTTTTTCCCTTTTTTTTTTTTTTTTTGAGACAAGGTCTCAGTCTATCACCCAGGCTGGGGTGCAGTGGCGTGAACACAGCTCAATCTCCAGGGCTTAATGATACTCCTAACTCAGCCCCCCGAGTAGCTGGGATGACAGGTGTGCACCACCAAACCTGGCCAATTTTTCTTTATATTTTATAGGGATGGAGTTTTACTATGTTCCCCAGGCTGCTCTCAAATTTCTCAGCTCAAGTGATCCTCCCATCTAGGCCTCCCCAAAGTGTTGGGATTACAGGTATGAGACACCATGCCTGGCCTTGCCTGTGTCTTTATGCAATATATGATGCTACTAAACCACCAAGAATAAGCATACGTTATTTTCACCAGAGAGGGCTAAAATTTGCTATTTCCCCATGATTGCTTTTTTGCCCAGTTCTGCATTCAATTATATACCTGATTCCTGTAAACAATGGTTAAGATCTAAGTCAAAGACAAGGTTTACAAGTTCATCTTATTTGACCAATCTTAGAACCTACAGCTTCATTAGTATCAAACTCTAAGTACAAAATTACTGCTAAGTTAAATACAAAATTTGCTAATTTAAATACAATCTATATCGTACATCCACTGTCACCTTATTCTAACTGCTGTCTCCTCATAATCTTTATAAAACTGTACTTTCCATTTGACTATAAAAGTTTGTACAAATTATAATTAACCTCACTAGATATCAATGGAATTGCTGTTCTCAAGTGTAAGTAACAAAAGTAGATGGAAAATCATGCCAAATCTGTATATAAATGCTCTAACATTTACCAGAAAGATACTTTTTTTTTTTTTTGAGAAGGAGTTTTGCTGTTGTTACCCAGACTGGAGTGCAATGGCACGATCTCGGCTCACCGCAACCTCCGCCTCCTGGGTTCAAGCAATTCTACTGCCTCAGCCTCCCGAGTAGCTGGGACTAAGGGCGCGCACCACCATGCCCAGCTAATTTTTGTATTTTTAGTAGAGACGGGGTTTCATTCACCTTGTTGACCAGGATGGTCTCGATCTCTTGACCTCGTGATCCACCCGCCTCGGCCTCCCAAAGTGCTGGGATTATAGGCGTGAGCCACCGCGCCCGGCCCATTTCCCAGAAAGATACTTTCATATAAGATGATATGAAGTATACTTAAGTCTAGCTGAATATCCAACCTGTATAGTGGTCACTTGCTCTGGCAGTTATTACTGGAAGTTTTGATTATCCTAAGCGGTCCAGGAAAGCAATATATGCAGAAGCATAATTTTGCTGAGAAATAAATGTGAATCATACATGCTGTAGACTTAATGGGAAGAATTAATGTCTGGGACTTGTCAAACCCTCAGCATCTCAAAGGCCTATTACATTTTTGAATGAATCATTCTTTCTTTTTTTTTTGAGATGAAATCTTGCTCTGTTGCCAGGCTGTTGTGCAGTGGCACAATCTTGGCTCACTGGGGTTCAAGCAATTCTCCTGCCTCAGCCTCCTGAGTAGCTGGGACTACAGGTGTGCACCACCGTGCCCAGCTAATTTTTTGTATTTTTAGTAGAAACAGGGTTTCACCATATTGGCCAGGATGATCCTGATCTGTTTACTTCCTGATCCACCTGCCTCAGCCTCCCAAAGTGCTGGATTACAGGTGTGAGCCACCGTGCCTAGCTAAATGAATCATTCTTAAGGTTTCTTTGTTTTGTTTTTAAGAAAATTACTTACTCCAGAAGAATATTATTCATATCTTGTGTAAAGAATTTTTTTCTTCCTTCTTCATCAAAAAGTTTGGCAGCCTAGAGAAACATAAGAGAGATGATCACAACTCAAAATAGGTCATTACTCTATTTTTTATCCTGTTTTTTATTCTTAGGACATATGTTCAATGATTTTTTTTCGGATAGGGCCTCACTATGTTGCCTGGGCTGGTATCAAACTTCTGGGCTCAAGCAAAACTTCCACACTACAGCCTTCCAAGTAGCTGGGATTAGAGGCATGTACCACTATGCCCTGCTGCAATAAATAATTAATTTGAGATAAATATCTATAACAAACTTCATGAGGAACATTTTTAAAAAAAGAGAGATAAATATCTAATAAAAGAAAAAAAGAAGCTCCTATCAGTAGAATACCAAATGAGTTGTGATCAACAGGCAAAGGCACTTGAGAGATTCAAATTCAGCTTGGTATTGTGTAAGTTTCCTACAGCTATTATAACAAATACCACAAACATAGTGGCTTGAAATAAGACAAATGTATCCATCCTCAGTCCCAAGTCCAAAGTCAGTATCATGGGCTGAAATCAAGGTGTCAGTGGGGCCATGGTCCTTCCAGAGGCTCTGGGAAAGACCTAGTTCCTTGCCTCTTTAGGCTTCTGGTGGCTGTCAGCATTCTTTGGTCACAGCTGCAGCACTACAACCTCCAAGGTTACCATCTTCAAATCTTTCTAGGCTCTCCCTTCACATCTCCTTCTCCTCTGCGTGTATAACACCTCTTTCTGTCTCCCTTTTGTAAGCATACAAGTGACTGCATTTATGGGCTACAGGCTAATCTAGAATAATAACCTTATCTCTTCTGCCATACAAAATAACATTCACAGATCCCAAGGATTAGAATATGGATTATCTTTTGTAAGACCTAACATAGATATTTTAAAAATTTGTAAAAGTTGTGATCCTAAGAATATGAAAAACACAAAGATCAATTACCATCAAGGTTAAGAGTCTTCAGAACTAAATAGAAAAGACATTTCAAAATAGTATAGGTCACAGTAGGGTAGCTATAGTTAACAATAATTGACTGCACATTTCAAAATAGCTGGAATAATTCAAATGTTCCCAGCATAAAGATAAATACTTAAGGTGATGGATATCCCAATTACCATGATTTGGTCATATGAATGTATCAAATTATGACATGTACCCTGAAAATATGTACATCTTTTTTTTTTTTTTTCAGGCAGAGTTTCACTCTTGTTACCCAGGCTGGAGTGCAATGGTGCAGTCTCGGCTCACCACAACCTCCGCCTCCTGGGTTCAGGCAATTCTCCTGCCTCAGCCTCCTGAGTAGCTGGGATTACAGGCACACGCCACCATGCCCAGCTAATTTTTGTATTTTTAGTAGAGACAGGGTTTCACCCTGTTGACCAGGATGGTCTCGATCTCTTGACCTCGTGATCCACCCACCTCGGCCTCCCAAAGTGCTGGGATTACAGGCTTGAGCCACTGCGCCTGGCCAAAATATGTACATCTTAAACGTATCAAAAAATAGTATAGGCTGGGCACAGCGGCTCATGCCTGTAATCCCAGCACTTTGGGAGGCCAAGGTGGGCAGATCATGCAGTCCAAGGGATCGAGACCATCCTGGCCAACATGGTGAAACCTTGTCTCTACTAAAAATACAAAAATTAGCTGGGTGTGGTGGTGTGTGCCGGTAGTCCCAAATCACTTGAACCCAGGAGGTGGAGGTTGCAGTGAGCCAAGATCATGCCACTGCACTCCAGCCTGGCAAAAGAGAAAGACCTTTTTTTTTTTAATCTACACTATTATTATTATGTTGAAATTGTAGACTTATTACTGAACTTGCAGATTATGTTTAAGTTGCAGACTTCCATGAGCAGACAAAAGAATCTGGTACCATATCTAACTTGATTCCGAAAAGACAGACTCTATGACTCTGTCCTTAAGGAGTCACCAAGATTATAATTATTAATAGAGTTAACTGCATTCCATGAGGATTGCTGACCAGAATAGGCAACGATCCAGATGAAATGTGTGACTGGAGGCAATACGCTATATACTGGGGGAAAAAAACCTTATAGTGAATAACAACAAAAACTGAGTAGAACTGATAATCTCTAAGAGGAAGAAAAAGAGTCAAACGTAGTGAATACATAAATATGGAATCGATGGTACAACTGTTGAAATAAAGATTTTTTTTTTTTTTTTGAGACAGAGTTTCACTGTTGTTACCCAGACTGGAGTGCAATGGCACCATCTTGGCTCACCGCAACCTCCACCTTCTGGGTTCAAGCAATTCTCCTGCCTCAGCCTCCTGAGTAGCTGGGACTACAGGCGCGCACCACCATGACCAGCTAATTTTTGTATTTTTAGTAGAGACAGGGTTTCACCTTGTTGACCAGGATGGTTTCGATCTCTTGACCTCGTGATCCACCCGCCTTGGCCTCCCAAAGTGCCGGGATTACAGGCGTGAGCTACCGCGCCCGGCCCTGAAATAAAGGATTTTTTTTTTTTTTTTTTTTGAGACAGTCTCACTCTGTTGCCCAGGATGGAGTGCAGTGACATAATCTTGGCTCACTGCAACCTCCGCCTCCCAGAGCCAAGCAATTCTCTGCCTCAGCCTCCTGAGCAGCTGGGATTACAGGCACTTGCCACCACACCCAGCTAATTTTTAAATTTTTAGTACAGGTGGGGTTTCACCATCTTGGTCAGGCTGGTCTTGAACTCCTGACCTTGTGACCTAACCACTTCAGTCTCCCAAAGTGCTGGGATTACAGGCATGAGCCACTGCATCCAGCCAAAATAAAGGATTTTTTAAAAGGCCATTAACTGATGATTTGGTGAAGGTAAAAAACAGTATTTTAAAAAAAGTAATGTGAATAATAAATTAGTACTGCCAATTTTTAGATTTAATCATCGTTATCACAGGTCATAAAGGGTATCAAACTGAAAATTGAGTTATAACTCTTCATGATGCATATAGTCACCAAAAGCCTAATGTGAATAAAAAAATAGATTTCCTGGCCAGGCGCAGCGGCTCACACCTATAATCCCAGCACTTTGGGAGTCTGAGGTGGGAGGATCACGAGGTCAGGAGTTTGAGACCAGCCTGACCAATATAATGAAACCCCGTCTATACTAAAAATACAAAAAAAATTAGCCGGGTGTAGTGGCATGTGCCTGTACTCCCAGCTACTCAGGAGGCTGAGGCAGAAGAATCGCTGAACCTGGGAGGTGGAGGTTGCAGTGAGCTGAAATCACACCACTGCACTCCAACCTGGGTGACAGAGCGAGACTTCATCTCAAAAAAAAAAAAAGATTTCTAGGCTTGTACCAAACTTAAAGAAAAAAAAAATTTCCTTTGAGTAAAAACACCTATAAGAATTTTTGATAAAATTTTAAACTTTATAACCTTAAAACTTTTTATATGATCTATATTAGATTTAAGCAGAAGAATGTTACAAAGTAAAAAAAAGCAAGACAAAAGTGCTTATCAGACACGAGTATTTTAGCTGAAGATAAAAATCTCACCTCCTGAAGAAAATGCACCATCTCATATTTCAAAGAAAATACAGAGATTCACAGGTATCAGTAAGTGAAATTAATCCTATTACTTTTATTTTTTTAAATACCTAATTAAGTGGGTTTTTTTGGAGACAGAATCTCACCATGTTGCCCAGGCAGGGCTCAAACTCCTGGACTCAAAGCAATCCTCCTGCCTTGGCCTCCCCAAAGTGCTGGGATTACAGATGTAAGCCACTGTGCCCAGCCTGAATCTTATTGATAATTTCCCAGTACCGGGTTGGGAAGAAGCTGTATAATCCTGGCATGACTACTATAGAGATAGACATTATTTGATATGAGCTATAAGAGAGTCTTACAAGATTGAAACACACTCAATCACTAACCAATTTTGTTTAAGTGAGCATGAGGCCGGGCACAGTGGCTCACACCTGTAATCCCAACACTTTGGGAGGCCAAGGTGGATGGATCACCTGAAGTCAGGAGTTTGAGAGCAGCCTGGCCAACATGGTAAAACTCTGTCTCTACTAAAAATACAAAAATTAGCTGTTGTGGGGAGCACCTGTAATCCCAGCTACTTGGGAGACTGAGGCAGGAGACTGCTTGAATCCGGAGGTGGAGGTTGTGGTGAGCCAAGATTATGCCACTGCACTCCAGCCTGGGTGACAAAGCGAGACTCCATTGCAAAACAAAACAAATCGGCCGGGCACGGTGGCTCAAGCCTGTAATCCCAGCACTTTTGGAGGCCGAGGCGGGTGGATCACGAGGTCAAGTGATCGAGACCATCCTGGTCAATGAGGTGAAACCCCCGTCTCTACTAAAAATACAAAAAAATTAGCTGGGCATGGTGGCGCGTGCCTGTAATCCCAGCTACTCAGGAGGGTGAGGCAGGAGAATTGCTTGAACCCAGGAGGCGGAGGTTGCAGTGAGCCGAGATCGCACCATTGCACTCCAGCCTGGGTAACAACAGCAAAACTCCGTCTCAAAAAAAACCCAAAAAACAAAAAACAAAAAAAATCCTGACCTTGAATCCTGGCTCGGCCACTTAAAAATTATGTGGCCTTGGGTTAAGTTACTTAATGTTCTTGAACCTTATTTTCCTCATAAATTAAACGGGAGAAACACTACCTAAAGCATGACTGTTGAGAAGATTATACAACACAGTGTGTAAAACATATGAAACCCACTCAGGGCTACCGTCTCCTGAGAAGTAAATGGGGCCGTGTAGGACGTAGCTGCACCGCAACCAACACACAGGGTTCTTGCTAAATAAACGATAGCTATTATTAATTACACCTTGAAAAACCTGAATTACATCACTAGCACTTTTTAAAACCTAAAAGAAACTAAGATTGTAGAGATAGGGCCACACGGAATAACAAAAAGCCTATGCCACTTATTCTGGAGTCAGGTGAATCCTGCATTTAATAATAAAAGAATCAACTGTATCGATGTTATCACTATAGTTATTTCTATTTATTTATTTTTATTTTATTTTATGTTATTTATTTTTTTGAGAAAGAGTTTCGCTCTGTCACCTAGACTACAGTGCAGTGGCATGATCTCAGCTCACTGCAACCTCTGCCTCCCAGGTTCAAGTGATTCCCCTGCCTCACCCTCCTCAGTAGCTGGGATTACAGGCGTGTGCCACTATGCCCACCTAAATTTTTTTGTATTTTTAGTAGAGACAGAGTTTCACCGTATTGACCAGGCTATTCTCAAACTCCTGACCTCAGGTGGTTCACCCGCCTTGTCCTCCCTCAAGTGCTGAGATCACATGCATGAGCCACCATGCCCAGCCAGTTATTTTCTACTAAAAAGAAAGGTCTAGGCTGGGCATGGTGGCTCACACCTGTAATCCCAGCACTTTAGGAGGCTGAGGTGGGCAGATCACCTGAGGTCAGGAGTTAGATCAGCCTGGCCAGTGTACCAAAAACCCCATTTCTACTAAAAAAAATTAGCCAGGTGAGGTGGTACACACCTGAAATTCAAGCTACTTGGGAGGCTGAGGCAGGAGAATCGCTTGAACCCAGGAGGCAGAGGTTGCAGTGAGCCAAGCACACCACTGCACTCCAGCCTGGGAGACAGAGCAAGACTTTCTCTCAAAAAAAAGAAAAGAAGAAAAGGTCTAAAAGGAAACATGGAAAACAAAAAGTCAGAAAAATGTTGGGACTGTAGGTTATTATTTTTATCTTTAATAAAACCAAAGCAATTATATCAGTGATATGTGGAAAATAAAAACAAACAAAAGCATTAATTTTCATGTTTATGCAGCAAATAAAAAGCAAGAGGATTATTACACTTACTACACGGAGGTCTTCGATACGTTTTTCAAGAAGTACAGGTAGACCCTCTGGGAGTGTAGGTACCACTTTGGGCATAACCTGAGAAGTATAGGTTGGCTGGGTGGTGGTTCCATTTTCACCCCCTGACTCAGACAGGGGGCTACCATCAGAAGCAGCATCCAGTAATCTGTCGAAGTCGAAATCATCTAGCATCTCTAGGGCATTTTCGGCTTCCTGAAACAGCTCATGTTCACTTGTGCTAACAAAAATGGGAAGGTCTGGATCAGCGCTGCTCAGATTTAAGTCCGGGACATCATTCCCCAGTGCTGCAGTGGCACAAGGGGGTTTATTCAGAGAGGAAGTTGACAAGGTCACTGGGACTTTGGGGCTAGACTCCTTCTTTAATGCATCCTTCTCCTTCTGGAATTTTCTAATCATGGCCGCTAGAGAAAGAGAATCTTTATAACGTTTCTTCTTTTTTTCACACTTGTGTGAATTTAGAGCCACAACTCTGTGAAGAAAAAAATGATCCAGCTATGTGTGATTTTAAAGGTTAAAGTGTCATATAAATAAATACGTGCAGAATTAAAGTAATCATTTGACAGGTAACAGCAGTTTTCCTAATTTCTTATTAATTTATACTATTATAATAGCATCTTCTTCCCTTGAAAGGCAAATAGGTAAATGGCCATTATGGTGAAAAAAATGAGGAAAGAGCTCAGTTTAGCTATTACTTTCTCCTAGAAATCTTACCTAAATCCTATGGCTTAAATGCTTCCAAATGTGCACTACAGAACCTAAAAGGTTATTAGCATCTTGAAGGTAGACCCATGTTTCAGTCACTGTTACACAACCCAAACCCTACATCAGTGCCTGCCATACAGCAGGGTACTAATATTTGCTGAATGAATGAATAAGTTATATAGCTGAAAAACAATACATTCAATAAAAGGGATTACTTGTAGCCTACATTCCCAAAGAAGTTTACTTGTAAATAACGAAAATTTAAGACAATCATTAGTAATATAAACATTTTTGTCTCCTAATTTCTTAATGACTGTAATCCCAAGTTTTAGGAGGGAAGAAATACCCTCTACATCAACCTTATGGATACTGAGAGCCCAAAATTCAGGTGTATCTCCACTGGTAAGTACAGAAACAAAATTCAGCCTTTCACAAGTGTCTTTCCCTTAGCTCTGTGAAAAAAGCCACAGAGAAGTCGAGGCAATTGACAATTTTTTGATTGCACTATACAAATATTTTATTCTGATGTAAGGCTTCTGAGAAATTCTATTTGATTTTTAGCAGCAACATCATTAATAATAGCTATATACTGGCCGTGTGCAGTGGCTAACGCCTGTAATCTCAGCACTTTGGGAAACTGAGGCTGGTGAATCACTTGAGCCCAGGAATTTGAGACCAGTCTAGGTAACACAGCGAAACACCATCTATACAGAAATATAAAAATTAGCCAGGCATAGTGGCACACGCCTATAGTCCCTGCTACTCAGGTAGCTGAAGCAGGAGGATCCCTTGATCCCAAGAGGTTAGAGGCTACAGTGAGCCATGATTGTGCCAGTGTACTCCAGCCTATGTGACAGAGCAAGACCCTGTCTCAAGGCAGAAAAAAAAAAAAAAGAATAGCTCTATAAACTCAATGAAAATTTTTGGCTGGGCATGGTGTCTTTTGCCTGTAATCCCAGCACTTTGGGAGGCTGAGGCAGGCGGATTACCTGAGGTCAGGAGTTTGAGAGCGGCCTGGCCAACATGGTGAAACCCCGTCTCTACTAAAAATACAAAAATTAGCCGAGTGTGATGGCATATACCTGTAATCCCAGCTACTCGGGAGGCTGAGGCCTGAGAATCACTTGAACCCAGGAGATGGATGTTGCAGTGAGCCAAGACTGCACCACTGCACTCCAGCCTGGGTGACAGAGTGAGACACAGTTTCAAAAAAATAAAAATAATAATAAAATCAATGAAAAATTTAAATATTAAAACAACTATAAATTGTTTACATATAGGCTACTGCCAACCCCCATTTCCCAGGCATCTAAACTTAGTTTAAGTACCAAAGATTAGAATAGTTTTTTTCAATATTTATAATATCTTTTCAAACTTTTTCTTGCTGGTAAAAAGCTGTAATGAGCAAAATGTTTAATAAACCAATCTATACATTTCATCTAAAACACTGAGTGTCTAAGATGACAAAGACTTCTACTTATTAGCAAATATAATACTATTAAATGTAAGTCATTAATATTTATCAACACCATACTATATTAAACTCAGGTTAAGTTGAATTAGTTAATGGTAAGTATATCTTTCTACAATTAGACAGCCATACTGTGATACCAGCTCCCTCCTTAGGTTTAATTTAACGTACCCCAGTTGTTTGGGTACTTTTTTCCTTGGCTTCTTCTCCTTTTCCCCTTCGTCTTTCCGCTTCCGCTTCTTTATCTCGATATCATCTTCTTTTATTTTGGGAACCTGTGAAATAATAAAAGAATGTATCATTTATCTAAGTATCAATGCTTTACTCTTCGATGTTAGCAATCCAGCATCAGCAGTGGTTTTTCTCAAATGTCAGTGTGCAGTACAATCGCTTGTTATAAATGCAGATCCCTGGGGTTCAAGAGCACTCTCACCTCTGGTTTCGATTCAGTTATCTGGGTTAGGACCTTATAATTTGCATTTTAAACAAGCATTCTGGTAATTCTGGTACAAGTAAGTCTTTGGACCACACTTCAAGAAACACTTATCTACGAACACTGTACCCTTCCCAAAGACAATGTTCCCAAAGACAAATTCTTTTTTTTTTTTTTTGAGACGGAGTTTCACACTTGTTACCCAGGCTGGAGTGCAATGGCGTGATCTCGGCTCATCGCAACCTCTGCTTCCTGGGTTCAGGCAATTCCCTGCCTCAGCCTCCTGAGTAGCTGGGATTACAGGCACGCGCCACCATGCCCAGCTAATTTTCTGTATTTTTAGTAGAGACGGGGTTTCACCATGTTGACCAGAATGATCTCGATCTCTTGACCTTGTGATCCACCCACCTCGGTCTCCCAAAGTGCTGGGATTACAGGCGTGAGTCACCGCGCCCGGCCCCAAAGACAAATTCTCTAGATTTTGTTAGAAATCACAGCTTAGGAAAGGTAACAGCTATTAGTCATTTCTATAGCAAGTCTTAACCTATCTGAGAAATATAACCTTATCACAGAACAGTAAATTGTTAGCCCACATTTGTACAGTTTTAAAAGAAAATACAATTTTATGATGTAAATACTAATATCCCCATATCTACATAATTTAATTTTAAATCATGTAACTGTATATTCATGAAACAATGGTTTGTGTTTTACTCTTCCTTACATTCACACTCATAACACAAGTAACATTCAAAAATATATCCTGTTAACTGAACATTCTCATTACTGTTGCAATGTTTGATAAACTCACTTTGGGTGGCTTGTGCTTTTGGTTGTCTGTAGCATCATCTTCTTCAGTATCTGAAGCTTGGCGAAACTGCAGAGTGCCAGTGTTGATATAAAAGCCTCCATACTTTGTTGTTAGAGAAGCGGGAACTAATTCATCATACTAGGTAAGAAAAAAAAGTTTCAGCTACATCCTGTTGTCTTTAACTCCATAAATGCCAAAGAAATTCATTCACCACAGCAGCATCTCCCTTAAATCCTAGTTGTAACACAGAGTGCAATGAATATTTTGTATAAATTTAGAAAGCTAATATTTGGAATAAAAATTAGCTCTGATAATTTGGTATATACATATATGAAAAAAACTTTGAAAAAAACTTCCAAAATAATGAAGTAAATTCTAAATATATCACCTGCTACATTTAAGAATAACTGCTACTATTACTTTTTTTTCCTTCCCACTGCTACTTTTCTTAATGACAAATGGTTCTGTTGAGAAACCAAGTTAAAAAGGAAGACTAAGTGTCCAGACAAGGAGTAAATTTCACTTCCTATCATAAGGAGGTTTTATAAAGAATAACAAACTTTTTTCTATCTTAGCCCTATACTTTTAAGTGGAGAAAATCTTAAAGACATTTAATTTAGGCCAGGCATGGTGGCTCACGCCTGTAATCCCAGCACTTGGAGAGGCTGAGGCAGGTGGATCACAAGGTCAAGAGTTCAAGATCAGACTGGCTAACATAGTGAAACCTTGTTTCTAATAGAAATACAAAAAAAAAAAAAAAATTAGATGGGCGTGGTGGTGGTGGGGCGCCTGTAGTCCCAGTTACTTGGAAGACTGAGGCAGAAAAATTGCTTAAACCCAGGAGGCAGAGGTTGCAGTGACACGACATTGCGCCACTGCACTCTAGCCTTGGTGACAGAGTGAGACTGTCTCAAGAAAAAAAAAAAAAGCAAATATTATTTTAGAAGAAGAATAGCACAGAAAAACAACTGCTCTGTTCAGAAAGTACATTCTTGAGGACCTAGAATGAGCAGGCACTTTGCTTAAAGCAAGGGACTCAATTTGTTCATTAAATCACACTTATGTCCCCAAAGTCTGGATCTTAAGGTTTATTATTACCTTACCTGATAAAAGATGGATCAAAAGCAAACATTAAGTGAAGGACAACCTTAACCAAATGAAAGTGTTCAAAGTATTAAAGAAAAAAGGAACTACTCATCTGATAGTAGAAAGATATGTTACCTGGGATCTCTAGACCTCTACTTCCAAGGTGCTTCATATCATCTAACTAGTTCTTTAAGAAAGTCAGATTTTTAGGAAAACCTCTTTGCCATGGGCAAAGAATATACATATCCTATTAGTTACTGTAAGAATTTTAAGGCTAACTACAAAACTTGTGATTTTAAACTGTATCCTTTTAAATTATGTGGAGAACAGAAAAAGGAAGAGGGACCCGTTTAATCACACTGAATTAAACTGAAATAAAATTAGTGAAGAAAGCTAAAAGAAAAAAAGAACTACTTTCTTATTGTTGTACTTAATACACTACCAGAAAGATCTACTATAAAGATCTACACTATTAGCAAGATCTAACACAAAAGGGGCAGTACCATAGGCAAATAAAGGAGTGATACAAGGAGTGAAAGAGTGTAATAACAATTTTTTTTTTCTTTTTTGAGAAAGAGTTTTGCTTTTGTTGCCCAGGCTGGAATGCAATGGCGTGATCTCGGCTCACTGCAACCTCCTCCTACCAGGTTCAAGCGATTCTCCTGCCTCAACCTCTGAGTAGCTGGGATTACAGGCATGCATTAACCACATCCGGTTAATTTTTTGTTTTTAGTAAAGACGGGATTTCTCCATGTTGGTCAGGCTGGTCTTGAACTCCAACCTCAGGTGATCCGTCCGCCTTAGCCTCCCAAAGTGCTGGGATGACAGGTGTGAGCCACTGCACCCAGCAGACTGTAATAATTTTGAAAAGTGTAACTGTGATAAGATAAAAACCCCCGTATTCTTTGCCTACATTGTTTTGTACAATGCTTTAGAATTTTCAATGCTTCTTCATATAAAGTATTTTACTTGGTCCTCATGATACCCTTGTGAGGTAAGAAAGGCAAATATCACTCTCGTTAAAAATGAAAGCCGGGTTAAGTACCTTACCAAAGCAATCATATATATATATATATATATATATATATATATGTTTTAGCAAAGTCACTGACTGCCTCTAACCCATCCACTATACCAAGCTGTTTCACATGGGAGTGAAACACGTTCATCACCAGGTATACAGGGCAATTCCGATGTGCTCAAAGTCTTTTTCTTACGCAGTATTCTGCTGAGCTTTTCCTAACAGAACACTCTTCAGGAGAATAAACTCTTTATGAGTATTTAGTTCAGCCATTTAAGCAGAACATATTAAGAGGTAACACACTGAACTTAAGAATCAAAAGGATTTTAGATTCTTTGCCCATGACTAGCTACTGTGACCCAGGGAAAATCACTTAATATCAGTTTTGGAGAGTTATAAAACAGGGACAATATTACTTCACAAAGTTCTAGTGAAATTTAAAAGAGACCATCTAAATAAAAGTGTCATTCATGCCTGGTATCATTATTTATTAATAAGTAATAACATTTTCTTTCAAATCTTTTACAATTTGGTAGCATAAATATGAGACTAAAAACAATCTTCAAAAGCATTTACTTTAGGTATTTATTTTTAGTAATTAATACATGATTCAGAATATATCAAATAATATGCCAACACTGAAAGCTTACTGGCAATACAATAAATGAAAAGAACACGAATCATCTGGTTCGACCATAGTTGTTTATGTCTGAATTATCTCATAAAAACAACTAAATAGTATGTCAAGGGCAAAGATACTAAGTTACTTTGTAGGTCAAGCAACTTGCATTTCAGTTCAATTTCTTCTTATAAAACAGGAACCTACCTTGTTCAGAAACTAGTTGTATAAAATTTATCCTAACTTATTAAAACAATAGCTTTCAATTTTTCTTCACCACAACAGAAGTGGAAAACACACGACACATCAAAATCCAGCATACACATACACATCCAATAAAACTGTATAGTCTACCAATAATGCACCAATAGTTTTTATTCTATTTTATTTAATTTTCTTTAAAAATACCAGTCACATCCTTTAAGTTTAGATATAATCCAATTATGGGTTACAAAAGTCAGCTTGAAAATATCCCAAATGATAAAAAAGGAAATATTAAAAATGCTATTTATAAAAGTCACATACTGGCCGGGCGTGGTGGCTCACGCCTGTAATCCCAGCACTTTGGGAGGCCAAGACAGGTGGATCACGAGGTCAAAAGATTGAGACCATCCTGGCCAACATAGTGAAACCCCATCTCTACTAAAAATACAAAAAAATTAGCTGGGCGTGGTGGCACATGCCTGTAGTTCCAACTGGGGAGGCTGAGGCAGGCGAATTGCTTGAACTCGGGAGGCGGAGTTGCAGTGAGCCGAGACTGCACCACTGCACTCCAGCCTGGTGCCTGTCGACAGAGCGAGACTCTGTCTCAAAAAAAAAAAAGTTACATACTATATCATTTTCTCTATTAGACATTCTGGAAAAAGTAAAAGTATGAAGACAGTTAAGACCAGTAGTTGCCAGTAATTAGGAGGGAGGGAGGGAGGAAGAATAGGCAGAGCACAGAAGATTTTGAGGGAAGTGATACTACACTTCTGCGTGATGCTACCACAGTAGATACATGTCGTTATTCATTTGTCCAAACTCGCAAAACGTACAACCCCAAGAATGAACCCTAATGTGAACTATGAACGTCGGTGACAATGATGTGTCACAATGTTGGCTTGTCAACTATAACAAATGTACTACTGTGGTACAGGATGCTGAGAGTGGGGAAGGTGGCGTGTGCATGGGGGCAAGGTGTTCATGGAAACTCTGTACTTTCTGCTCAGTTTTGCTGTGACTCTAAAACTGCTCTAAAAAATATAGTTTATTAATTTTAAAAAGCTATTTATGTAAGTGTGAGTACATGTGATGCCCATTTACATATGGCTAAATTCCTTCTTGGTTATTTGGAATTCAAAATGTACACATAATGTTAACACTTCTACTGATGGTTTGCACCTGCTTCATGTTCTTCAGCTAGTTTACATTCATGACCTTATTTAAGGCGCAATTAATTCTGTGGGGTAAGCAAGTCATAGCAGAGAAAACCGGGTGTGCTAAAAGACTCACTCCTGGCTCCACAGCAAATTAGAAACTGAATTAAGATAATAATCTAGACTTCTGCATTGAGTTAGAAATCAAGGTCAAGACTCTGGAAAACATTCTATGCCCTGATTTATTGGTTGACAACCTTTTTTGTAATAGGAAGGCCACTTTACTCCAAAGGGCACTGGCAATATGTTACTTATACAGACCAAGATGCCTAGTATGGTAACTAAGTTTATGTCGGGACACTGTAAGTAACTCAGGAGTTTTACAGAGTATCCAATGTGCCTCACGCTGAAATCCTTACTGTCACTCTCCTACCTTTATATGCTCTGTCATCAACTTTATAAGCAACCACGGTAGCAACAGGAAAAAAGACATACTATATAATTTGTGGGTAGGGTAATAGTCACCTAGCATCACTTTCTGTATATCCTTAGTAATTACTGCACATTGCAGAGGATATCATAATCTCAGGGATTATATTACTCTAGTACACGGACAAGAATGGAAGAACATACACCTTCTCTACTGCAAAACATGACTTGTCTTTCATTTGCTATGTGATCAAGGGGCTGTTTCAGTCCTTAAATGTGCTCCTAAATTCTTCTTCCTTTTATATAAGAAAGAAGATTCCATGGGAAAAGCTGTAGGGCTCAATCAAAAGAGACTAGTGATAAAGGCTGGCATTCAATGTACCATCCTGGTAATAAGGCATGGCAGAAATAAAAAATTAAATAGATATTATAGATGTCTGTCAGATTAATTTCAACCCAGTAGCACCCATCTTTAAGACTGCATGGTTCTTACTTCAGAAGTCATTTTGAAACACACCTGCCCAAGTTTGGGAATATCAGTAAAAATCACGATGCAAATAAATACCCTTTGACCAACAAATTCCACTGTTAGAAATTTATCGTATCCATATAAATGCACTCTCTAAATACCCTTCACACACATTTACTTAAGTAGATAAACGCACCCAGATGCTCAATTACTTGTATGCACATAAAACTAGAAATAATTTAGATGTACATCAAATGTGACTAGATAAACTATGTAATTTAGGTATATTCGCTAATAGCCATTAAAAGGATTATATCTATGTACTAATATACATATCACTGAAATTTCTGGACAACTACATAAGAAGATTTTTAGTATTTACCTCTCAGAAGGGAGCCCCTTTGGGTACTTTACCTTTTACTTCATAACTAACTTGTACTTTATTGCTGTTTTACCCTAAGCATATGTTAATCTTATAATTTAAAAAAGGGAACACTAAAATCTCTGTAGGCCTTGCCTCTAGAAATCCTAATTTCTTAAGTCTGAGTTAAGAAGTATTAGTATTTTCACCCCCAACTGAGAACCATTATCTTAACATAATGTTTTTCAGCATTTGATTTTCCTTTTTACTTTTTTTAAAAAACTTCTTTTGGTTCTCAGTTTGGGCAAGGGGTGATGATGGAGTCAAAGCTATAATTACACATCTGAAAATGAGCAACTATTAGAGAATCCCAAGAGATTCTTTCCAGAACTGGAAAGGAGCAGAGCGTATGAAAATAAAGACATTGTACAGAGCCAGCAAATCATGAGACACACTGGCCAAATCCAGCCCACTAGCTTCTTTTCATGTAGCTTCCAAGGTAGGAATGGATTTTACATTTTTTAAATGATTGGGAAAAAAATAAATCAACAGAAAATTACTACTTCATGACACACAAAAATTGTATGAAATTTAAATTTCACAGACCATAAAGTTTCATTGTAATGCAGCCACGCTAATCCATTTAGGTATTATCTATGGCTGCTCTCATGCTACAGTGGCAAAGTTGTGTAGTTGTGACAGAAACCATAAGGTTCACAAAGTCTAAAATACTTACTATGTGGCCTTTTACAGAAAGAAGTTTGATAAAACTAGGTCTAGTTTAATAGTGTAATAACAACTCACCATATACAAACCCAGTTTTACAAAATTCTAAATGTGTAGTATTCTTAAAAATAAAAAATAAAAAAGGTAAATCTTTAAGTAGTGAGCATGGCTTTAAAAAGCACAAATAGAAACATTCACTGAACTATTTAAGTTACTTTACCCTTGACTTCTAGTATCCCATATAAACAATGAATTTGCTGCTATATTAAAGATACATTACTCACAGCCTCTGAGTTATCAATAAATGGATCTGTCTCATCATAGCCAAAGCCTATATCAATTAAATCTTGTAGCCGATCCTTCCGGTGTTTACGGGGTTTCCCACCCTGCAAAGAACAGATACATTAGACTGATTTAGCACTCATGCTGTTTCCATAAAGTTAAAAAAGACCTGTTAGAAGAATTCAAACGATTTTGTAGATAATCCCCCTCTCCAAGAGGTTTAAGTCCTCCCACACCTTGAGTGTAAGTTGCACTTAGAGATTTGTTCCAAAGAATATGGAAAGGGGAGGGACAGAGTAATTTCCTGGTGGAAAATCTGGCCACACTTCCTCTCTAAGTGATCACAGTCAACAGCAACAGAGATACGTCATATTGACTCCATGTATCCTTGATCTGTGATTAAAAACTGCACTTCACCTCTGTGATCTTCTCAAAAGCCTACAACCCCAGCCTAACCCAGAGAAAACCATCAGACAAAACCAAATTCAAGGACATTCTACGAAATGAGTGACCAGTGTTCTTCAAAGTTGTCAACATTATCAAAAACAAAGAAAATCTGAAAAACTGCCAAAGTATAGATGAACCTAAGGAGAAATAATGACTAAATGTAATATGGTAACCTGGCTGAGATTCAGGAACAGAAGATAGACACTAGGGGAAAAACTAGTAAAATCCAAACAAAATGTGGACTTGAATGGTGGTGTGCCAATGCTGGCTTGTTAGCTGTAACAAATGTACCACATGAATCTAAGACGTTAACAGAGGAAAGTGAGTGAAGGCGGTACGAGAACTCTCTGTATTATCTTTGTAACTTTCCTGTAAACCTAAAATTATGCTTAAAATTATTTGTTTGCTTTTTTTTAACAGATAGGGTCTTGCTCTATTGCCCAGGCTGCACTGCAGTGGCATGATCAGGGCTCACTACACGTTTGTTTTTTCAGATTGGGTCCCGCTCTGTTACTCAGGCTGGAGTGCAGTGGCATAATCATGGCTCACTGCAGCCTCAACCTCCTGGGCTCAAGTGAACCTCCTGCCTCAGTCTCCTGAGTAATTGGAACTACAGGTGCATGCCACAAAGCCCTGCTAATTTTTAATTTCTTTTGTAGAGACAGGGTCTCCCTATGTTGTGCAGGCTGGTCTTGAACTCCTGGGCTCAAGTAATCCTCCTGCCTCAGCCTCCCAAAGTGCTGGAATTATAGGTGTGAGTCACTGGGTCCAGCCTAAAAGTATTTGTTTGAATAATCAGACTTATACCCACAGACATATAAGACAATGAAAAATGAGTGCATGTATAAACTGAAATGAGTGTGTGAAATCTGAGTTAAGATCTATTATCTAGTTAACTGTATTATGCCAATGTCAATTTCCTAGTTTTGATAACTGTAGATATGTAAGATACTACTACTGGGAGAAGCTGCATCCAATGGGTACATGGGACTTCTCTGTAGTATATTTGCAACTTTTTGTGAGTCTATAATTCTTTTTTTTTTGATACAGGATCTGGGCTGGGTGTAGTAGCTCACGCCTGTAATCCTAGCACTTTGGGAAGTCGAGGCAGGCAGATCACTTGAGGCCAGGAATTTGAGACCAGCCTGGCTAAAATGGCGAAACCCCATCTATACTAAAAATACAAAAATTAGTCAGGTTTGGTGGTGGGCGCCTGTAGTCCCAGCTACTTGGATGGCTGAGGCTCAAGAAATGCTTGAACTGGGGAGGCAGACGTTGCAGTGAGCTGAGATGGTGCCACTGCATTCCAGCCTAAACAACAAAGCAAGACTCTGTCTCCAAAAGAAAAAAATTACACAGGGTCTGGCTCTGCAGCCCAAACTGGAGCGCCATGGTAGGGTTATAGCTCACCTTGAATGCCTGGGCTCAAGTGATCCTCCTGCTTCACACTCCCAAGTAGCCAGGACTACAGATACAAGCTACGGTACCCAGCTTAAATTTTCTACGCATCTTCCAATATTTCCCTGTCCTACAATTTTTTTGGTAGGGGAGTGGTGAAGAGGATGCTTAGAAAAAGAGGGAGGAGAAGGATAGGTGCAGTGGCTCATATCTGTAATTTCAGCAGTTTGGAAGGCCAACGCAGGAGGACTGTGAGAGCCCAGGAGGTTGAGACTAGCCTGGGCAACAAAGTGAGACCCGTCTCTACCAAAAAAAAATTTGTTTTTTAGATTAGCCAGGCATGATGGCATGTGCCTGTGGTCCCTGCTACTTGAGAGAGTAAGGCAGGAGGAACCCAGAAGGTTGAGGCTACAGTGAGCCATGTTCATGCCACTGTATTCCACCCTGGGTGACAGAATGAGACTCTATCTCAAAAGACAAAAGCAAAAACAAAACCAAGAAAACAATTAGTGCAAAGGATTCTGCCAACCAACATGCCACCACTAAGCCACAGTGAGCCTTATATATAGCATGAGATGCAAGATGTAAATCTCTGGTCATCCCATTTGGTTTCAGATCTCACACCACATCTCTCAATGAAAAGTGTGATTCTAATGGTTAAAGATGCGTAAGTCGCAGTAACATGGCTCTTAAATAAAAGCAAATTGCTTCACCTTGCTTCAACGCAAAGAAACAGTGATCTGTTCCAGTGCTTGAGGGAAAAATGTTATGCCAGACTTATGAAAGACATTTCCAACATAGTGTCATCACCTTACAAGTAACTTGCAAAGGCAATTCTGACTAACTGCTATGTCTGTATTACATAGTGATACTAAAAACGCCTGACTCCCACATAAGCTATGACTCCACTGTACGCTTTTCAGTGGACAAAACAACACGATTACTATACCAGCATCACCAAGAAAGGCACTGTGGTGCAAAATATAAGGAGTGGTTTCCATATTTTTAGATTTTACAAGTTAGGTAAAAGTTTCAAGAACAATTCTAGGAACCAACACAGGGTGGCAACACTTGCATTTTGCTAAGTAAGGCCCCTGAGGGTATAATCCAAGAACAATTAAACAACATGCATACATGCACATATACATATATATATACACACACACAGATGTAAGGTACATATAATCATATACACATACAACACACATATGTGCTTAGATGCAAAATACGTATTAGATTGTCCTTATTTTTCCCATTTTGGCAGATCTGCAGAATGAGACCTTTACATTATGTTACAGAATTATGGTGAGAATCGGAATTCAGGAAAAGGAAAGAGAGAGGTCGGTAAGAGATATTCTATTGAAAAAAAGTTACACACAAGCAGTTAAGAACATGAGGGATGATTTCACCCTAAATGAGAAGGAGGAAGAGATCTAAGATCTTTTAGATCTTAGATCCATGTGACTAGTCTTGCCACATAGTATGTTTAAAGTTATGGGAGTTAAAATAGATGAGGCAGGAATACAAGAATAAAAAGATTAACGGACAGCACTGTTCAGAAACCTACCCTAGTATACAAGAATTAAAGATGAAAAATGCAGCATTACAACTCAATGAAAAATGATCAAAAACAAATGAGGTTACAGTAAGATATATCAATTTCCTCTATCAAATTATAAGCCTTTAAATTCTGAAAAGATGGAGCATAGGACTGCTCAAACACAGCTGATAAGAGTGTACCAATAAGAAAAACCCTTTTGGAAAGAAATCTGAAAGCATCTGCCAAGAGACTTTGCAATACTCTTACATTTTCTTCTTCTGCCTCTTATATGTTTTCTAAATTTTCTATGACATATTATTATCATATAGAAATATGCTAAAATAACTTTTAAAACTCTTCATCTTATTTGACTCAATAATTCTACATAGCTTATTCTGAACCATTAGAGTCAAAAATATCTGTTAAGAACTTATGCCATAGAAGGCAATATGTTAAAATAGCAGAAAGAATTTAAGTATAAAAAGTCCTTGTCTTCAAGTAACTTAAAACAAGATAATCTATTTAACATACGTGCTGAGGACTTACCATATGCCAGCCTTCATGGATTTTATAGTTATGCACAAGCAGTTAAGTATGAAGAGAAGAGAAAGATTAAACAAATGACTACAATAGTTATAAATGGTAGAAAGGCAAAAGGTTGAAAGGAGACCTCTTCAACAGAAAACCTAATCAAGGCTTCTTACTAAGATATTCATACCCAGACAAGGACAAGTGGAGTCAAGCACTTGTGGAAGCCACTGAAGGGATCAGCACAGAGAAGTAAGTGACAAGATCAGCGTTTAACAAACTCACTCTGGCTACTGGCATGGGGAATTAACACAGCTGGGGAATAGAACAGCTAGAAAGAAAAAAAATGCTCAGATTTGCAAGGAAGTCCCAAGTTATTGGGGGCATAAAATACATATTTAAATGCCAAGCAAGATCATGACGACAGCTAGCATCCACTGAATGCTAACTTTGCATCAGATCCCATACTAAGTACAACCATCTATTATTTCACATTTGACAAATGGGAAAAACTAAGGCTCGGAAAGACAAGTAACTTATCTAAGGTCACACAGAAAGTAGGCGAGCCAATCTTCAAACTCATGACTGTCTAACTCCAATGGGCCATTCTATTAAAAATTCTATGTGAAAAGTTATAGAACCCATAGTGTAATTTTTTAGTTGAAAACACCTTAAACTCAATAGACCAAAACTGAAATTAGTGTTCCCACTGTCATTTGTCTCCAAATTAGCTTCTTCCATTTGACATTCTCATTTTGTTCATCTTTGCAATTTTTCTGCCTTAAAACCATTATTGGCTAAAATTAAAAGAGTGATGATATCAAATGCTAAAACGGACATTGCGCAATTGCTTCTCTCACACATCATTAGCAGGAATGCAAAATGATGTGGCTACTTTGAAAAATTGTTTGGTAGTTTCTTTTTCTTTTCTTTTAATGATCTCTCTCAGCAAATCAGATAGTTTCTTGTTAAGCATACAGTTACCATGGGATCTAACAGCCCCACTCTTACATGTACCCAAGAGAAATGCAAATGTGTATTCACACACAGACCTGTACTCTCATGTTTATATCAGCTTGGTTCACAGCAGCCAAAAACTGGAAACAACCCAACGGCCATCATCTGGTAGACAGATAAACAACTGTGGTCCATAATCCACAGTAGGAATACAGTGGATTACTACTCAGCAAT